AATATGAAATCTGACCGTGATTTATCCAGTCATATATCATGCTATTAGTAAATTTTAATTAATTTAAATTAATTAAATAAAACCAGCATAATTACCAGTTATGTAGATATTCTCATCAGATGAGTAGGTAGTCCCAGAAACTTGATTGGTTGTATGGAGGTGCGTGAGTGATAGAAAAAGTATTAAAGAGTTTAAGAGTTTATGTCCAAGAGAGTTTAAGGGCAGAGTGTTAGTCCCAGATATTGTCCTGGATTTCTCTGCATGTCCGACTTGGAATCCCCAAACTTCCAATTCCTCCTTCTGTCTCTCAACTCCAACTACCCTCTCTCTTCCCTTTGTCTTTACTTTTAAAGGGCCAGACTCTTTGTACGTCATTAGTTGATAAACCAATAGGAAGCCGAGTGTGTTCAATCTATGGGTCGCGATTTAGGTATTTGATCCAAAGAGGGCACTCTCGTCTAACGAAACCTTCCTATCCAGGAAAGAGTTAACTTTTCCTGATGACGATTTTGACGTCATTTGGCTTATCTAAAATGACTACCATAACTTAGATTTGCTGTCAGTTCAAAGTGTTTGTCCCAGTCTTTGTGGCAACTACTTTGATCGTAACTTGTAAAATTGACAGTTCTAAACTCAATTTCACCCCTTACTACAATGGAACCTTGTAAAATTTAGAAAGTAAAATGAATTACTTAGTCTTCTCTGTCACTAGTGTCTGTGTTTAGATAATACATTCCTTAGCTCAAGCAAGTGGCTAGTTACAGAAAATAAGAAGAAACTATGTGTCTGTTATCCTGAAGATAGCAAAATGGAGTCTGAGTGACTCTGGCAATATACACTTTTAATTTCTTTTTAGCACAAAATGTCTGTTGATATAAATATTCTGACTATATATATATATATATATATATATATATATATATATATATATATATATATATATATATATATATATATATATATAGAAACTATACAATTTCTGGCACTCTTCCCAAATAATAATACATACCAGGTGCTTCTCTGTGCAAAATACTATAAACAAAGCAAAAAATGAGAGCACTCCATGGATTTGGTAAATCAAATTACTGTATTCAAATAGCACAAAAAAAATCGACGTTTCGACCGTCTAGCGGTCTTTATCAAGATGCTGTCATATACAAAAACCTCAAATATATACATAAACGCTTGTTAAACTCAGGATTTAATGACCATCCCATAATAAAGAGGACATTGTCAATTATTTCCATCTGATTTCCTGCCGGTGGGAGTTACAATACAGAGCTGCAAGAAAGGGTTGTGGACTTCCAATTGGTGATTGGGGATAGTACATACATCTAGGCACTTTTGGCTTTTTGATCAATACCCAGTGACATAAGGTTCTTATAGTAGGACCCTCTCTCCTTTTACCTAATTTTTCTCTTTTCCATTTCCTAGCATGCCGATCTTGGAGGCTGCACTGGCATATAGTTAGTAGGATCACTGTTACATTTTTTATTGTTTATTTTCTCTTTATTGTTTATTTTTACTATTTTTATTTTTTGTTATTTTTATTTTTATTTTTATTTTTTATATTTTTTATTTATTTTGATATTTATTTTTATTTTATTGTATTTTGTATATATTTTTTATTTCATTTTATTTTTTATTTATTTATTTATTTATTTACATTTTTTATTGCATTTTTACCTTTCTGACAGTGCATTCTCATTATTCACGAGGGCTCATTACACTTTTAGTGCATGTTTCAGCTGCACAGTCTTTTTCACTTTTCATTGATTGTCTAATTTCTAGAGGTCAGGCAGTATACTCACATTTTTTACTACATCATTTCACACACACACCGGAGAATGATCTTAGTAGCACACACACACTTTTTTCTACAGTGTCTCACATACATACCGTAGATTGATTTAGTACAGGATTTTCCCATCCTTGCTTTATTTTTTACTAGTTTGGAATTCACACATACTCATTTGTCACTCACCATTTAATATTCCCTGTGTTTATTTATTTCATCACACACATGCTGATCACTCTACACTATATATGGACCCCAGTAGATAAAGGGTCAACATCACACACACTCTCTGTTATATACTGACAACTCACATTATGCTAAGCCAGCCTGTTTTCTGTAATTGATGCCTGTTCTTATTGTTTAGGTTTGTGATTTGGCAACACACATGGCTTTCCCAGCTAGGGTTCCCAATTGAATAAGGGGTTAGGTAGTATTTGAGTTAGCTCTATTAGGCTACACAGGTCCACAGTTACCAATACACCAGTCTTTCTAACTGAGTCCCTATATGAGCCATCGTTTCTAGCCATTCCTGGCTCACTCTAGTATCCCACGATTAGTTAGGCAGTTGCTTAGACATTTATGAAAACACATATGCAACATATAATTTTATTTATCCTCCGTAATGATTTTAAATCTTTGCCGACATTTGGTTTTTAAACAGCTGTGCCGTCTCTAGGCAACACATGGTGATTTCACCACACGTCACTTTACGGCAATTAACATAACGATCCACAATTTGCGGCTTCACTCATATGGCAGATTGGACACACAGGGAGCACTTGGTGATTGGGTAAGTTTAACAAGCGTTTATGTATATATTTGAGGTTTTTGTATATGACAGCATCTTGATAAAGACCGCTAGACGGTCGAAACGTCGATTTTTTTTTGTGCTATTTGAATACAGTAATTTGATTTACCAAATCCATGGAGTGCTCTCATTTTTTGCTTTGTTTATATATATATATATATATACAGGGAGTGCAGAATTATTAGGCAAGTTGTATTTTTGAGGATTAATTTTATTATTGAACAACAACCATGTTCTCAATGAACCCAAAAAACTCATTAATATCAAAGCTGAATATTTTTGGAAGTAGTTTTTAGTTTGTTTTTAGTTATAGCTATGTTAGTGGGATATCTGTGTGTGCAGGTGACTATTACTGTGCATAATTATTAGGCAACTTAACAAAAAACAAATATATACCCATTTCAATTATTTATTATTACCAGTGAAACCAATATAACATCTCAACATTCACAAATATACATTTCTGACATTCAAAAACAAAACAAAAACAAATCAGTGACCAATATAGCCACCTTTCTTTGCAAGGACACTCAAAAGCCTGCCATCCATGGATTCTGTCAGTGTTTTGATCTATTCACCATCAACATTGCGTGCAGCAGCAACCACAGCCTCCCAGACACTGTTCAGAGAGGTGTACTGTTTTCCCTCCTTGTAAATCTCACATTTGATGATGGACCACAGGTTCTCAATGGGGTTCAGATCAGGTGAACAAGGAGGCCATGTCATTAGATTTTCTTCTTTTATACCCTTTCTTGCCAGCCACGCTGTGGAGTACTTGGACGCGTGTGATGGAGCATTGTCCTGCATGAAAATCATGTTTTTCTTGAAGGATGCAGACTTCTTCCTGTACCACTGCTTGAAGAAGGTGTCTTCCAGGAACTGGCAGTAGGACTGGGAGTTGAGCTTGACTCCATCCTCAACCCGAAAAGGCCCCACAAGCTCATCTTTGATGATACCAGCCCAAACCAGTACTCCACCTCCACCTTGCTGGCGTCTGAGTCGGACTGGAGCTCTCTGCCCTTTACCAATCCAGCCACGGGCCCATCCATCTGGCCCATCAAGACTCACTCTCATTTCATCAGTCCATAAAACCTTAGAAAAATCAGTCTTGAGATATTTCTTGGCCCAGTCTTGACATTTCAGCTTGTGTGTCTTGTTCAGTGGTGGTCGTCTTTCAGCCTTTCTTACCTTGGCCATGTCTCTGAGTATTGCACACCTTGTGCTTTTGGGCACTCCAGTGATGTTGCAGCTCTGAAATATGGCCAAACTGGTGGCAAGTGGCATCGTGGCAGCTGCACGCTTGACTTTTCTCAGTTCATGGGCAGTTATTTTGCGCCTTGGTTTTTCCACACGCTTCTTGCGACCCTGTTGACTATTTTGAATGAAACGCTTGATTGTTCGATGATCACGCTTCAGAAGCTTTGCAATTTTAAGAGTGCTGCATCCCTCTGCAAGATATCTCACTATTTTTGACTTTTCTGAGCCTGTCAAGTCCTTCTTTTGACCCATTTTGCCAAAGGAAAGGAAGTTGCCTAATAATTATGCACACCTGATATAGGGTGTTGATGTCATTAGACCACACCCTTCTCATTACAGAGATGCACATCACCTAATATGCTTAATTGGTAGTAGGCTTTCGAGCCTATACAGCTTGGAGTAAGACAACATGCATAAAGAGGATGATGTGGTCAAAATACTCATTTGCCTAATAATTCTGCACTCCCTGTATATTATATTATTAGGTTAAGTTAGATGTTTTATGATATTATTGGTTAGTTTAATAAAGCTGTGGCCTGTTTTACACCAAGCTATGTTTTGTGTCTCATTATTATTGGTTGGGCAGGCGAGATCTTAGGAGAGCGTGACGGGGTTGTTATACATGGTCCCCACTACCTTCGCCCATGTGGTATGCTGACAGCTCTCCCAACAGAAGGCTTGAAGCCTCTATCCCTGCATCAGTGGCTTACCTTCCCATACCCCTGCAATTAGACAATCAACCTCCAAGGTACAGTAGTATCCTTTTATATGGTGTATATAATAATTCCTGATAGTGATGGTGTTATATTTGACAATGATGGGATGAGACAATAACCTGAGTAATAAATGAAAAGGTATTAGTCTGTAATTCTTGGCATAGGTTGTAACATTTGAGCCATAAACAATGGAGTAGCTTAAAGGGACACTCCAGGCACCCAGACCACTTCTGCCCATTGGAGTGGTCTGGCCAACTCCCACTACTCTTAACCCTGCAACTGTAATTATTGCAGTTTTTTATAAACTGCAATAATTACATTGCAGGGTTAACTTCACCTCTAGTGGCTGTCTACTAGACAGCCACTAGAGGGCACTTCCTGAGTCATAGCAAAGATTTTCTTTGCTAGAGCATCGCTGGACGTCCTCACGCTGTGTGAGGACCTCCAGCGTCGCTCAATTCCCTATAGGAAAGCATTGAAAATCTTTTTCAATGCTTTCCTATGGGGAGACCTAATGCACGTGCGCGGCATTGCCGTGCATGCGCATTAGATTTCCTCAGCCGGCGGGCGGGATCAGTTTCATCCACCGGCTGACGTGATCACTGGGAGGAGCTACCTGGGATGGGAGGTGGGAGGGAGAAGGTACCTGCAGTGCCAGGAAAACTGATTGTTTTCCTTGCACTGGAGTTTTCCTTTAATAAGGTATTAAAACTTTAACAAGGCATCTGATAGACTGACCTAATATTTTTTCAATGCCAATTCTGAGTTTACAAAAATAAATTATTATATACATGTGTAATAAAAAAAATAAAAAAAAAACCACAGGAAGTAAGAGAACTTAGTTTTATAATGATTGATTGTAATTTGTTTACTTTGCCACCTTGTATTAGGAAAAATTGGATAACAGGAGTAATTTTAAGTTGAAAAAATATATTTTTTACAAAAATGAATGGAAACAAATGGGGCAATTGACCACCTACTCACTTCTTCTACCATGAGGAAAAAAACAAAAAACTTTGCTACACATCCAGTCTGCAGCGTTAGTGAGTCCTTCAGTATGGAGGGAAAAACAGGGTTTGCCAGCTTATACCAGCTGCATCTGCGGAATTAACAGGCACTGCAAGATTCGCTCAGGCAGGGAGAAACCACTGTAGTGAAATAGTGGAGAGTTTGTAATCTGATTGATTGCTTCTGTGGACAGGTGTCTTTTATACTGGTAATGAGCCGAAATTAAGAGCACTCCCTTTAAGAGAGTGTTCCTAATCTCAGATCGTTACAAGTATAAAAGACACCTGGGAGCCAGAAATCTTGCTGATTGATAGGGGATCAAATACTTATATCACTCATTGACATGCAAATCAATTTATAACTTTTTTGACATGCGTTTTTCCGGATTATCTTTTTGTTATTCTGTCTCTCACTGTTAAAATACACTACCATTAAAATTATAGACTGATCATTTCTTTGTTAGTGGACAAAAGTTCAAAATTAACCAGAGGATCAAATACTTTTTTCCCTCACTGTACCTCCTATTTCTTATAGCCCCTCCAAAAAGCAGTTAAGGGAAAGCTTAACAGAGATTTCCACTGAGTAGGTAAAACAAAGTACTCAAGTAGTGTCAAGTAGTGTCTGCAATGTCTGGTAGGTGGTGGTGAGGAATCTAGTGATGATGATATTGCTATTTTCCCAAGGCACTCCAGACATTTGTTTAACTCTGTCCCAGGAGGAAGTTAACTGTAATTTGGTGGAATTAGAACAGGGTGGTCCAGAGAGCAGAGGGTGGGAACAATCCACAATTTTCTGCAGCTACTGTCCACTCATTAATTTGTCTAAGCCCGTCTTTATCTGCAGTTGAATTGCCTAATTTAATGGAAAACATTGGATCTTCATCTCCTGCCAGATTCAAATATAGCTCACCCTGTGAGATTATTATCATTAACACCATTTCTCATCCCATAAGTATTAGTCAACCAACTCCTATTGTTGAGGCTAGTCATGCCACAACCTCCAAAGAACAAACACAACCACATCTACATCAGCTGCTAGCCAATGCAAAGACCATGCTGAAGTAAAGGTTGGCATTACTTTGACAGCCTCCAAAAAGATTGAAGTGAATAGGTTGGAAGACAATGGTCATCTCAGTAGTGCTGGTATTTACTAACATATGTATAATTAATAATAATAATAAAGACTGTATTATTAATGGAAGCCCACATCACCTCAGGTCCCACACATTTTGTTGGATTTCAGGGCCATGTCAAAGCAGCAGGCTAACAAAATTATATGGAAACAACAATAGGGGTCAAACAGGACAATATCGGTAAGGCAGCAAACCTGTGCAAGAGGTCCCTCACAAAACGTTGAAGATAATCACAAGATGGGTAGCACAAAGGTAAACTAGGGCTGCGCCACAGTAAATGAGTAGAGTGTAGATATATACGTATAATATAAATAAATAAAGTAAGTGGTGCACTATCAGGTCTTGTAATAAGTGGTAGGTGGTTTAATGGCATGAAAAAAAATTAAATACATCTGTGCAAAAAAAAATAAAAATGACATTTCGACCCCTCAGGGTCTTTTTCAAGATCACAGTACATAAAACAAAGTGGCAATATAGAAGTGTATTGTGGAAATCCTAATATTCACAATACACTTCTATATTCGTAAAGAACTAATACCAGTCATGAGAAATATTTTCTCAATAAACAAAATGAAAAAAAAAGACAAAATAAAAAAAAATACATGAAAAAACAAAACAAAAAATTAGCCAGTGTGATCTAATAAAATATAATATGATACTAACCAAAAAGCTGAAGCCTGACTTAATGATCTATCAAATATTATAGGACCTCAGGGGAATATCCCTACTCTATATATTACTGACAGTATCTATGATATTTAGTCACATAAATTAAGTGTGTATATGTACAATAAATCCATTATACTAGACCTGAAAGACTATCGTCACAGAAAAGACCATGCACAAAATATGTGAAAAATATGCAGAACTATATATGCAAAAATACTGATACACTGTACATTATAAGAAAATTGGGTAAACTATATTTTCATTGAGCCCTTTAGGGGCCACACTGTCCAACTTGTAAATCCAACCTGCATCTAGCTGTAGAAGAGCTTTGGACCTGTCACCTCCACAGTAAGATGAGAGACATGGTCAATAGCTTTAAAACCTAATGTTGGCAGGTGGTGCTGTGCTGCCAAAAAGTGTTTGGCTACTGGTGTTTTGGATCAAATGAAACTGTTTGATTATTTGTCTATCTACTCCTTTCCAAATTGATTGCGCGCATGCTTTCTAGAAGTAAATCACACCGGACACGTTGCAGGTTTATGAAAGACTTCAGGAATGGCTTTATTCCAAGGTGTGAGACCTCCTTTTAAGGCAGAAAAACATCATGTACATGGTCACAGATTACACAAAGTATACTTTCAGCAATTGGTTAAAAGTTGGTTAAAAGTTAGGAGGTCTTGTCTAAACCCACCCTACAAGATGTAATGTCATCATCATGAAACTATTCCACCCCCATTCCAGCTCCATCTTGGTTAGATGACGGGAGGGAGAGTGAGTTGTTACTGAACAAAAAAGGGGGAGGGGCTGAAGGGGAAACAGTTACTTTAACATATCGAATCTCCATTTTTGTTACATGAGGCTTTGCTCAATAGGAAGGAGGGGATGAGAGGGGTTTACAGAGGAAATAGTTACAAACACACAGAGGGGGAAGGGAAGCTTTTTACTGTATAGCAACACATGTACACAAAAATAGACAATTTATCCATTCAAGTATTTTGTCCATAACAGTCCCCCCTTAATAGCTATTTTACTAACAACTACTAATACTGTCCCTATAGAAAAATAACAAAGGCTATCTTGCACATCTGTGTGAACAGGCCTCGAACGCTTCACTGCGCGGGTGACCACTACTTCTCCGCGACAGACTTCTGCCCATAGAGACAGACACTATCCCTGAGTGTCCCTAAGAGGAAATAGTTGTTGCTTTAGTGCGGTGAGACTGTAAGGGTGTATGTGGTGTATCACGGTCTATGTCGTCAATCTCTTGGTGAAGGAATGTCGGGGTAGTTTGGTCGATTGTCTGATAAACTGTCTTTTGTAGGCATTTTTTAAGACCTGGTAACACACAACAGACAATAGGAGAAAGAATAATCAACATTATCAAGACAGCCACACCTATCTGGGTCAGAACTTTCTACCAATCATTCATTTATCCAAACCATCTTTCCCATGGATCTGTGGCCCCAGAATTTTGTCTCAGCTCCTCGGACAAACTCTTTAATTTTTCTATGGCCAAAGTTACCTTATTATTAGGGCCTGTATTATCCGGAATATAGGTGCAACATGTCATGGTGTCTGGGAGTATTTTACATACTCTCCCTTTTTCTGCCAAAATCATCTCTAAGACCATCTGATTCTGGAAAGTCATTTTGGAGGTAGCTTGTAACCGCCCTATCCCACCATATATCCCATAACAAGTATAGTTCCCTGGATATATAGTAATGCCTTCGTCTGGGTTAATATTTTTAGTAATGATTGGGTATTCTTTTTCCATGACTCGCATGCTGACCGATTAGTTTTAAATATAGTGTAGAGACTTAAAAAGCATACCTCTATATCCGGAGGAAGGTTCAGAGGTACTGTATCTGGGTGAGACCTCGCTCCTTCGCAGACATAGCAGTTAGACTTGTTATGTTTATTCGTATTGTATTTCATCCATTCAAGCCACAAGTTAGTGTCAGAGAAATCTGTCTCTACAGCCACAGTATCTTCAAATATGGGATGACTACCATGTCTTTTAAAGTCTTAATGTGTGGTTTGAGGGGATTAACAGCCATGTGCATGGCACCTACCCATTCAGGTGAGTCATACATGTCCCGTAAGTAAAAGGTCCCCTGTTTATTGTATGAACCTCCTCCCTTTCAATTCAGATTTCATTAGCTGTAATGCTTGGGAGAATAGATTCAAACTTAGTTTCTTACCTTAAAATAATTTGGTACCTCCTTGACACCCCTATGGCATTAATATATATATGTGTGGGTAAAACCGCCCTTTATAGGGGTGCTTCTTTTTTATCCTGAAGCATGAATGTGGTGTGTCAAGAGTACCTTGGTGATTGTCATGTATTATGTGTATGGACCTTGGCTAGGGCACATTTACTTATTCTTAATCATATAAATCCTGTCTCATGCTACCTTAGTACTGGCACACTCAGATCATTTAAAAATTCAATATTAATATCACCACAAACTCAAGATAAGCAGATGATCCTGAAGAAGCTTCGACCGTGCGTAGGCAACTCAGCTTCCGGACGTGAGGGCTGCAGGGTAAGGAGTACGGCTGATTCTCTTTAGTTTCATGAGGTCCCCTTTTGGGGTACTTAGCTTTCCATCAATGGCAGGTGGTCAGACATTATTATGGCCATCAAAACACCCACTTGTTGTTGATATTTTCTTCAACAAGTATCTTTGCTCTCTAAGAATGGAGTTTCAAAAAAAGGTTGTCAAGATCAACAAATGCTACTTCCCATGAAGCAGAGGCAGGCTTGATTCTGGAATGATGAATCCACGGGGTGATCTCTGCAACTTTCACGGTGCACTACTCGGCATGTGGTCTTGGTTATCACTTTTGTGGCTGGGTAGGCTTCTGGCCAATACCAGCCACTCTTTGGCATCTGGATGTAGTCAACTTGAATCCTCTGGAAGGAATAGTTAGGTTTGGCTAGATGCTTGGGGCTTTTCTCCATTCTGCCTGAGTTGCCCTTGGCACAAATGGCACAGGATCTACAGTAACTGTTGGTCAGAAAGGTAATTCCTGGTGCTTCAAAGTATTTGTTGATCAAAGAGTTCATGAGGGTCTTGGACAGGTATGATGCTTTGTTGGCCCACTGGACCACTCTGAGTATATGCTCTTGGGTAAGCAGAACTTGAAATTGTTGGGGTACAGCCCATCTTTAAGGGTTGCCACTTTCTGTTTCCAGCTTGTGTTTCTTCAGGGTCAGTAGCTGCTTGTTATTCCTTCAGGAGCTTGAGGTCTGTGGGTAGGATCTTACATGGTGAATATGGGAGTTTCTTCGGTGGACACTCTTCTGTCCACTTCCCTTAGTGCACTTACAACTTATTGGACAACTTGGTCAGCCAGATAGTTACCACATGTCTCCTCTGAGTTCAGTCTTCCATGAGCCTTTATCTTCAGTGTGGCCATTTTTTTAGGAAGGTGTAGGGCATCCATCAGCTCCTTATAGCCGTGTTATGCTTAACCGGCGTGCCAGTTGCTGTGAGAAATCTTATCTTCCAGATTGATCCGAAGGCATGTGCCATGCCTAGTGCATGCCTTGTGGCAGTGTTGATATTGGCGTGTCTTCCTTCAGATATCTTGCATGCTGTGGTGATCAGCTTCTTGTGCAGACATTGTTGAGGTGAGATACTTGGTCCACTGTAGTGACAGCAAATCCGGAACAGATCTGTTATGGTGTGTTGCATCTCCACCAACTAGAACAGGTCTTCTTCATAATAAGCTTCAGATTCTGGTATATTTCTGAACCACAATATGCAATGAGGAAAAGGCTGAAAATAATAGTCAGTATCTAGGTCTAAGTCAAGACCTTATCATTCCCCCCCCCCCAGAAGAGTGGCCAGGTAAGAGTGTATCATCCCCGCAAGGTGACAGTATCCTTCACAGAATTAGTCTTTATAGGGAGAAGTGGGATATTGCAGGGAGAGTCTCAGGGAACCAGGGCACCATTTGACACCAGAGCCTTAACCTGTTAGGGAATAGCAAGAGCTTGGACAGGCTTCGGGGGGGGGGGTGTACTGTGGCTTAAGGGACAGGCTGGCCCCTGGGAGCAACTTCACTAGAACTGGGGCGGGGGGGGAAACATTGGAGGTGTACAAAATCTACGGGGCCTGTATAATTCAGGTAAAGGTATTGGGGGAACTAGCTAGGACCCTTGCATCCTGGTCAGGTTTCTCTGTGTGGAGCAGAAGAAATAATGAGCAGAGGGCTGTTTTATCAGCAGCAGAGAGTGGTGCAGACATATGAATCTGGTTATCAGGCATAAAGGTGATAGAGGCCTGCAAGCGGGCGAAGGACATCTGCACCTAGCAAAGATAATTGGACTGGTAGAGGTAACCACAAAGCAAGGCTTAGTTAGCTGGCTACTCCAAGGAGAGCCATCTACACCTATACAGGAGACAATAATATTAGACAGGAATGAGGAGTCAGGCAGGCCTTGCTCGCTACAAATAGATTCCATGTGGCCTGCTATACAAGGCCTCATATAGCCGTTGAGTCTGGGCCTTATTATGTACTAAAACCTAAATCAGAGAAAAATGTGGGACAACCTGAAGTGATACTTCTCCACAGATGCGAACTCACCGTGGATGACATTGTTAATACAGGTAGCCCGATCAGCCAATTTATCTTAGTCTTAAACAAGTCACGCCATGTAGTGGAATGGGTCATTAGGATTCGGGCAATTCTTCAGTAGAAGGGCATAGTAAGGGTGGAAGTGATGTTACGTTAGGAGTAGGCGTGACTGTGGATAGTGGCAAATCTGCCGTATCCATTCTCATATATTATTCCTTTTGTCTTCTGTATATCCAAAACATGTGTATGTCCAGGCGTTGCAATATACAGTAATCCATTATTGGTCATTAAAATCTCATTCTCGTGAATTAAATCAAAGATTTTAATTCAGCCCCAGAAGTAACAAGTTTTTCCTTCCGTAAAAAGGATTGGAGTTACTGTGTAATCGCGGACACCCAATATAACATACATTGCATGTTCCTAACAACTGCTACATTAGTGTATTTCATTCTGAGACACTTGCAACCTTAATGTAAATTTATTTTAATTAACCTAGTACTTTCCTATAACATACATAAAAACAATGAAAAACCCAGTACAGACTAACAATTTAGTAAAACAACAAACTAACATAGATCTCTATTCTTGTGCTACACACCAATTTCAGACATTCCACATACATAATACAGATTAGATAAAACATCACATAAACAGTAGCTCTAAAAGATAATCAGTACAGAAAGGCACTTTATAATAGGTAAGAGCCAAACACAGGATAATACAAACACTTTACACAAGTAAGTTCTAAGATTATTGTCCAGCAAAAATCTTCTTTGCAACTTTTAGTAATTAGCCATCTGCTGGAAGACCCCCCTCACATTCCTCACTTAGTTTCAGAAATAGATCACCCATTCACCCCCCTTTTTAACCAAAACACAAGGGTGGGGCCCAAAAGAGAGAGAGAGAGGGGGGAGTGTAGAGGGCACAAGTAATGGCTGTCAGCATTTGCAGCCAGAGAGGTTAACTATGTGAGTGCTGTAGAGAAACGTAAAGAATACAAAATAACAGAAAATAACTCTACATTCATTGCAAACAAAAACCCAAGGAGTTACATCACATTTACCCTTCTCTAATTAGAATAGAGGAAAGTAACAAGACAGACATAGACTTATAAAATCGGTATAAGAAATCACAAAAAAAAAAAAATGTACACAAACATAAATCAAGGATACATCAAGCTACACACTCTTGCAATCACGTCACAAACAAAGGAATTCCAACTGAACAATCACAAGAGAGCCAGAGTAAGGAGGGGAGGGAGGGAACAAGCAGAGTTGCAAGCACAAAGTTTTTAACCATGTGATTGCCTAAGCACAGGTCTCCTAAGGACAAAAGATAGAAGAGGAGAGTGACAAGACGTAGACTTATGTGTTACACTTAACATATATTGTTGACAAAGATTGACAAAGAAACATATACAGGTGAAGGCACAATATACAGAAGTAATTAGATCACAAATTCCTTAAAATAAATGCTGGCTAACAATAAACCCAGGTCACACACACACACTCAATCACATATACAATAACTTTTTAACTCTTTACCAAGCATGCAATAAACTTTTTCTTGCTCTTCACCGAGCAACCAAAAACGCTTGAAAAACTCTTTACCGAGCTTAGCTAAAATAAAATACGCTAGTTTTTTACCAAACTTAGCTAAAACAACAAAAAACACTTTAAGCTCTTTACCGAGCATGCCAAAAAAACTGTAGTTTCTTTACCAAAACTTAGCAGTATTATATAACAGTGTAAAGCAAGTAGTAAAACGGATTCTCAAGCAGACACTTTCACACATAAAAATCACACTCAGAATGTAGATAGACAATCGACAGGTTCTTTTCAAATAAAAAGGGGACATTTGGGCAAACTATATACCTGTCATTGGTGTTTTCCACGTAAGCCGTTGCAGACACGGAGTTTAGGCCAATCCCAAAGACAGGAAATATAGGTAATTTACTCATTTACCATATATCCAGAGTTGATCAGTCTCTTTTTTCCAGTCTCTGGGGGTCTCCTCTCCAGTCCTCAAAGGCGGCTTTTGTAGTAACTCAACTCAATCTGTCCCATCTGGGGTGCCAAATGTTTTGGATCAAATCAAACTGTTTGATTATTTGCCTATCTACTCCTTTCCAAATTGATTGCGCTCATGCTTTCTAGAAGTAAATCACACCGGACACGTTGCAGGTTTATGAAAGACTTCAGGAATGGCATTATTCCGAAGGGTGAGAACAGCTTCTAAGGCAGAAAAACTTAAGTACCCTAAAAAATTGTGGTATGGGTAGGGCGTCCTTGAGATGTTGGGGATGGAAACTGGTTGCCAGAAAAAGCGTGTTCCGATCAGTCTGTTTCCTATATAGGGTATAGCCTAATTTTTTCATGTCCTCATATTTGTATACTTGTACATCCAGAAACTGTATGGACGATTTATGCCAAGAAGGTGTAAGTTTGATTGGTACAGATAGCGAGTTAATTGCTTTAACCCCTTAAGGACCAAACTTCTGGAATAAAAGGGAATCATGATATGTCACACATGTCATGTGTCCTTAAGGGGTTAACCATGTCATCTAATTCTTCTGATGTGCCATTCCAAATTAGAAAGACATCATCCACATACCGGAGATACTTAAGAATCTTGTTCTTATATATTGGTAGAATGTACTTGTTCTCAAACCAAAACATAAAATAATTTGCATATGCCCACTATCTGGAGAAAAAATTGTTCTTCAAACTTAAAGTAATTGCAAGTTAAGGCTATGGAAAGGAACTCCATAAGGTATTCTATTGGAGGACCTTTATACATATCAGAATCACATAGCATCTCTCGAACCGCTTGGATGCCAAGTTATGGGGTATGACTGTATGTAGGCTCTGTACATCAAGCGTGACTAGCAAACTGTCACTATCATTTGTTAGATTGATGTGTCGGATTTGCTCCAGAAATTCAGGTGTATCTTTTAGGCAAGTCGGGAGTTCTTTCACAAGGTCTTTAATGTAATAATCTGCATATTGGGCAATTGGTTCGATAATGCCTTGTTTTGCAGACACAATGGGTCTGCCCGGTGGGTTCACAGAGTCTTTGTGTATCTTTGGAAGTGTGTACAGCACTGGATGTTTAGGATGAGGTACGTGTAAATAGGTGGCAGTCTTCTGATCTAAGTACCCAGATTGTACTCCAAAGTCGATGTGGTTCCATATAATTTTTTGAAATTTATGTACCGTATGTACATATGTACGTATTATATATTTATATATATATATATATATATATATATATATATATTTTTTTTTTTTTTTTTTTTTTTTTTTTTTTTTTTTTATATATATCAAAAGCCTTGTTAAGGCTACTTTGGATTGAGTGAGGTATTTTGAAGCCAGGAGAAGGTAGTCTTTATACTTCTCTGATATCGATATATATATGTAGAGAAGGGTGACAAAAGGAAGAAGCTAAAAGTGTGTTAAATCTCACTAGGTATAGATATAAAAATAAAATAATAGGATTGCACTCACATTTGGTAGAGCTTAAGCCAGCTCTGGTGTGTATAGCATACAGCAGTATGATCCCCACTTAAAGCATATGATGTGAGTTTTTCTTAAAGGTAAAGATCATTTACCTTTAAGAAACACTCACATCATATCCTTTAATGCACTATTAGCTTCTTAACCGGTTGTCACCCTTCTCTACATATATGGATATCAGAAGTATAAAGACTACCTTCTCCTGGCTCCAAAAGACCTCACTCGATCCAAAGTACCCTTAACAAGACTTTTGATTTATATAATACATATACATGTCTAGCTTGAGGGAGGTGAGAAAAAAAAAGTTATATATATATATATAAATGTAACAAGGTCTAAAGAAAAAACACTTGAAGAGCTAATTTATCCACAATGCATCCGTCAAAAGAATGCTACAGAAATACAAATTGCAGACATCCTGGACAGAATAATACAAAGTGCTGGCACTGGATATTGAGATCCTAAACAAGGAAGAAAAATTAATAATTATAAATAACGACAAGTCGGAAGGGAGTGGGTATAAGCATTAAAATAGAAATTACATAGCAAAACAAAACTGACAAAAGAAAAATGACAGTGTCTTTAAACAATAGAAGAATGCTACTGCATGAAGGAAAAAACACAGCGGCATCACTTATTATTTTTACATTTGTAAACGTGTTGGCAATGTAACTTCAGTTTTATATTAATGCTCATCACATCTGTAAATAAGGTATGGTTTTATGGGGGAAGGGAAGCATATAAGTTTATGTTAGTCTAAAATTTTACAATTATTAATTGTATTGGAGGGATATTGAATGCAAAAATGTTCTATTTTCTAGGAATTATTTTGAGTTTAGAAGAAATGAAAGCACAGGGAATAAACCACAAACTCACTAATGGACTTGATCAGTTCATTGGATAGGCTCCCAAAAACAAATAACAACATAAACAAATAAAAACAAAAAAATAATAGTCACTATTCCGATTCTCTAATTGTAACTGATGATTTCTTTCATGATTGAGGGGAACATTAGGCATTGATTAATCATTGAATACTTGTTTTGATTTCCAATATAACAAATTGTTTAATATTGAGACTCTTTGGCTACTAAAATTAGCATTCAATAACTAATGTTGATGAACCCTGTTTGAACATTGACTAACACATTAATTAAGAGTTAGAAATCAACTTTGTAATCTCACTTATGGCACTTCCACTAAGTTCAATTCAATGCATGATAAACATTTTAATAATTGGTTAGGTTCGTATGTATTCATTTGGTCACAAGTAACATTTGTGTGAGGTCTCATGGATCACAATAAAATGGATCTCACATTGTGAGCAATAGTCTAGAGAGCTACATTGATTCCTTTCAACTACATTACACTATATCATCATCTAAGTAGCTAAGTCTTTACTTTTGCATATTTATAATTGTATGGTTTCGTGCAAGCAGGGAAAATTACTATTCTTCATCAATCAAAAATTAGGTTTGCTGCAAATGGAAGTTATTTTTAGTATTCAATTTTCAGGAAAAAGACAAAATTTCATCTTGCTTTCAAATGAGATGTGGAAGAATTTCACAGTTGGGATCTCTGGCAAATTGTATTAGACTATTTTTCAAAATAATCGTAATTCAGGTGAAAGTTGTCTCATTTGTCCAAATAATATAATCTCAAAATGGTGCAATGGAAGAACTAATTGCGCCATGAACTAAATTCTTCAATGTGAGAGCCATTTATTAGTTCATACTTTTAAATTTGTTAGATTGGTATCCATATGAAAATTAAGGAGCTGTTTAAAGTATACATGGCTCAGGTTGCTATCTGCTGAACTGCTCCCTTACTTGAGTAATGAGAGCAGGGAGAGTATGTTAGGTTGCTCATAATTATGGGGGGAGGTGGGAGTAACCCCTATAAAACAGGAAAATGGAAAAATAACCGGAGGGAGGATCAGAGGTTAAGGCAATCAAGTCCACATGAATCTACCCTCTAAAAGGAGAGGAGCAACCCAAAAAATAAAGCAAAAAAGTTAAAATCCAATGATAGCTGATCCAAAGTACGTACTAGCTACCCTGAAGACAGGGACCTAAACATTAAAGTTGCTGTGAAAGAGAGAGGTAGGGAAAACAGGAGGTCAAAATCTTTGAGGGCACCACTTAAAACATCTCCTAACAGGAGCTAATGCTCCAACAGTCTCCCAAGCTCCCACTCTGTAGATAACAATCAGCAGAGAAAATCCATAATCCCATGTACCCTCCAGCAACAAAAAATAATAAAAGAAGTAAATAATGATGAATCAAAATATAAATATAAATCTAAGCGTGGTGGCTGGTCCTAATTAGACGAAGTAGCTGCAGCATTATCCCTAATAATATGCCTAACCACTGCTAAACAGAAATCCTGACGCGCGTTTCGCCAAGTGCTGGCTCTTCCAGGGGAAAATAAAGTCTACTCGTTACCTGCTGTCCGGAGTTAGGTTATTTATTTATTTATTTTGACCTCCTGTTTTCCCTACCTCCCTCGTTCACAGCAACGTTTATGTTTAGGTCCCTGTCTTCAGGGTAGCTAGTACGTATGTGTTAAAAGGTAGGTTAAAAAACAGCCCTCCTACCCCCCCCCCCACAAAGTTATAAAATCTCCCAATCACTATACTGCTAAAGAAAAATTATGTCAAAATTCCTATTTCGTATGTTACTTGCCCTTGCAAATGATGTGGAGTTTGACTCTGGTCCTACAGCTTATCCCAGTCCTATTCTCACTGCTAAAAAAAAAAAGCCTCTCCTTTGTGCACTGCAACATTTGCAGCTTGCTCCCTAAACCGGATGCACTAGAAGCCTGGTGTTCCCATTACAAACCAAAAATAATTGTACTCTAGGAATCATGATTAATAACAAAAATATATGACTTTGCCATTACAATAAATGTGTATTTATGCCTTAGTAATGACAGAGCAAAACGAGAATGAGGCATTGTTATTTATGTTGACAAGTCCATAAAGTATATCCCTTTATAAAACTATAGCTCCCCTTAAACATTTGATTTCCTTTCTGGTAAAATTGCGATCCCGTTCGGTAAACCGACCATTGTCGGCCCGGGCATTTTCCAATGACAGCGCCCCCCTGACAAAGGGGCATGGCCAGAGAGGGTGTGTTTTGTCATCACTACTGGAAGTTATTAAAGGGTGGAGAAAAGCAGCAGAGCTACTTGGAAAGCTGAAAATTGAAAGCCAGAATAAGCTTATTATTCACCTGCCACCTAAGCTAGAGCCAGCTTTATGTGGCTCTACATACTGTGAGTGACCTGTGACCAATTGATGTCTTGTATATAACAGTGTTACACTATATATGTGTTTTTCTATTATAGGTCTAACAGGAGGTGTCCTACTTATATTAAGTATAATATACTTTCTTATTGCTCTATGTGCACCCCCCTTGTATTCTTTTTTCTATCACTAATGACAAGCACGCCCCCTCTCAAAGTGAGCATGTTAGTTAACCGCGGCAATGCTCTGACCTCGCGAGAGGAAGCCGGCGGAGGTGCAGGGTAGATGTCTACGGGGTCCTCCTCTCCCTCCCTCCCAAGCCAGTGGCAGTGTTACAGTGCTGATAGTGTCGGCCCTGCTGGCCTCTGCCCCTGGTCATCGCGGCCCACCGGGCATTTGCCCAGTATTTCCGATGGCCAGTCCGGGCCTGCACCTAGCTCTCCAGTGCATTCCCTTTCCAACATAACCCAACTCCTTAGTGAAACCGTAGCTCAAAACCAAAAAAATAAATGGTTGTTTTTTTTTAGATTTTAATGTTGATTGTCTGAAACCTAAAAATAATAAATTATGTTTGCTGTTTATGACTTTGCAACCAGCGCCGGCGCTACCATAAGGCGAATAAGGCATTCAACTGGGGCGCCGACCTGCAGGGGGCGCCCACCGGGAGGTTTCCTGGTGGGCTGCCCTGTTGTTGCCTGGGGCTGGAATGCTGGGTGGGCTCCTCTCCACTATTTGACTGCACAGGGAGAAGGGTTTACTGTAACCCCAGCACCTGAGCAGAGCACACTGCTTCCTGCAGGCAGGGGAAGCCAGAACAGCAGATGGGAACAGGAAGCAGCCGATGCTTACTGTGCATGGCTCCACCTGCTTTCCAAGCAGAAGGAAGAATGTCATCCTGCAGCCTGGACCTCTTCTCCTCTTCACAGCACCCAGGTGGGCTAAGGGGGATTGTTTATTGTGTGAATGGTTGTAAATTGGTCTGTGCTTGTATTTTAGTGACAGTGTGTGTGTGTGTGTGTGTGTGTGTGTGTGTTGGTGAGAGTGTGCAAGTGACAGTGTGTGTGTTGGTGAGAATGTGCAAGTGACAGTGTGTTTGTGTTAGTGAGAGTGTGCAAGTGACAGTGTGTGTGTGTGTGTTAGTGAGAGTGTGTAAGTGACAGTGTGAGTGTTGGTGTGAGTGTGCAAGTGTGTTGGTGAGAGTGTGCAAGTGTGTTGGTGAGAGTGTGTAAGTGACAGTGTGTGTTGGTGAGAGTGTGCAAGTGACAGTGTGTGTGTGTTAGTGAGAGTGTGCAAGTGACAGTGAGTATGTGTGTTAGTGAGAGTGTGCAAGTGACAGTGTGTGTGTGTGTGTTAGTGATAATGTGCAAGTGACAGTATGTGTGTGTTAGTGAGAGTGTGCGTGTTGTGAGAGTGTCATGTTTTTTCTTTAACAAATGCCAAACAAAAAATTAAGAACCACTCACTTTTTATTTTGAGGCAGTTTTAGCACGGCAAACTGATGTGGCAGCAAAGCAGAGAGATAAACTGACAGTCCTTGAAAATAGAAGTTTAGGTGATGTGTCCAGGGTTAGTCCATAATCAAAGTCCTTTATCCAGTCCAAGGTTGTTCAATAGGAGATCAAGCAGTATTGAAGGAAATTCCAAAAGCAGAGTCAAGGCCAGTTCAAATTAGTTAACCAGGTAATCCAAGTTATAGTTGTATGAAGAGGAGCTACCTCAGGGAGCGAAAAGGTTTAAAGGAAATAAAGAAAAGGGGTAAACGGAATTACAGGTAAGTAGTAATAAGGGTTATAGAATAAAGGGTTTGGACAATAAACCCTGGACAGGTTATAGAGAAGTTGATAGAAGCAGAACCTATAAACGGAATTATAGGTATTTAATAAGATAGAAAGAAATAGATAGAAAAACCTATAAATGGGATTATAGGTTTAGGAGGAAGAAGGAGAACCTAGAAACTGAATTATAGGTATGAGAAAAACCTCTAAACGGGATTATAGGTTTAGGAGGAAGAAGGAGAACCTATAAACGGAATTATAGGTATAAGTAAAGAACATTATTGAGAGTTTAGGCAATATGCCCCAAGCAACAGGTAAATCAAGAAAGGGAAAACCTTTAAGAGAAATCATATATTAGTGGCAAACATAATATAACATAATAAGAGATAAAATGAATTCAGGGTAGATGGTGAGTTATTGTCACATCCTGCTCTGTTCAGTGGAGATGTCTGGCCTTGGCTTCTGGTATCCAGTACTCTTTTTACAATTCTTGTTTAGTTTTTCTTGGTTTTTCTGGTTTTCTAGGCTATGTCTGGTTTTCTTTATTGCTGAGATTTCTGGGTTCATTCCTGTAATCCATCCCCAGGATTCCCAGTGTCCAGGCTTCCTTTAAATGTTTGTTTTATGTTGCCACACCTGTTTGTTTTCCATTTTCCTTTTTGTTTCAGTGTCCTGCAGGCAGCTGCTCAAGGCTTCTGCCCTTTCTTGCAAGTAAGTGCTATTGTGGAGTCTGCTGCTCACTGAGCAGAGTTTAGTGGGGAAAGGTAGTGGAGAGGGAGGAGATAAGACAGATGGGGAACAGGCACGTAGCTGGGTGACAGTGGGGCGAGGAAGCAGGGGGGGAGGGAAGAGAAAAGGTTTAGCTAGTCCTGATCTCATGCAGCCTAACAGATTTGCCCGTTTGAGTGAAGATGTTGGGAGCATCAGCTCAGGAGTAGCTGTACTGCAGGAAGCTGTTCCTGCTAACAGCCGTGGAAACAGCCCCTCTAGTAGGGGTGGGGTTGAGAGGGTAAGGAAGTCTAGACAGGTTGTGGTGGTAGGGGACTCTATTATTAAGAGAGTAGATAGGGTAATCTGCCACTCTGATCGACTCAACCGGACAGTTTGCTGTCTCGCGGGTGCTCGGGTCTGGCATGTTGCCGACAGAGTGGAGGGATTATTGGGAGGGGCTGGAGATGACCCAGCTGTCATGGTCCATATTGGTACCAATGACAAAGTCAGAGGAAAATGGAAGGTCCTAAAGAATGAGTTCAGGGAACTAGGAAGTAAGCTTAAGAAAAGGACCTCCAAGGTAATTTTTTCAGAAATATTACCTGTGCCGCGCGCTACAGCAGAAAGGCAGCGGGAGATTAGAGAGGTCAATGCGTGGCTAAAGTCTTGGTGCAGGAAAGAGGGTTTGGGGTTTTTAGAGCACTGGGCCTATTTTGCGCTATGGTACAACCTGTATAGTCATGATGGATTGCACCTAAACGGAAGAGGGTCTGCTGTGCTGGGGGATAGGATGGCTTGAAGGTTGGAGGAGATTTTAAACTAGTGGTGGGGGGGAGGGTCAAAGCAATCTAGAAAATGGAGATAGGATGGAAAGGAGATGGGCTTTAGCTCAGAGCAAAGGGGGTGGAGATGGGGGGAGGGGAAAACTCAGAACAGAGGAGGAATGTAATATTGATAATTCACAAAAAGTACAAAAGACTCATGATAATATTAAATGTATGCTTACTAATGCAAGGAGCCTATATAACAAAATGGGGGAACTAGAGGCAATAGCATACAATAAACAATATGATATAATAGGCATAACAGAAACATGGTGGGATGAGACACATGACTGGGCAGTTAATTTAAATGGGTACACGTTATTTAGGAAGGATAGGAAAAACAAGAAGGGTGGTGGGGTATGTTTATATGTCAACCATGAGTTAAAGTCAAATCTTAGGCATGTGGAGTGTGACGAGGAAAAGGTGGGTAGGGTAGATATCTGCTTGTGGCAAACAAAGGGAAATCAATTATTGGTTGGGATATGTTATAAACCACCTAATGTAAATATTAATGAGGAAGAACAGCTGTTAGAGCAAATTAAGAAAGCTGCAAATCGAGGTAACACGTTAATTATTGGAGATTTTAATTATCCAGACATAAATTGGGAAAGAGGGACTAGTACTTCAGCAAGGGGAATCAGGTTTTTGAATGTGTTAAATGACACCTTTATGTCACAACTGGTACAAGCACCAACTAGAAAGGATGCTTGTCTGGATCTTGTCATAACAAGCAATGTTGATCTTTTAACCAACATTCAAGTAGGGGAGCATTTGGGAAATAGTGATCACAATATGGTAAATTTTGAAATAAACTCAAAAAAGCAAAAGCAGGTGGGGTATACTAAAACACATAATTTTAAAAAAGCCAATTTCAATAAGATTAGGGCAGCTCTACAACATATCGACTGGCATAAACTCCTTAGTGATAAAAACACTGAGGATAAATGGAAACTATTCAAACATATATTAGAGAGGTACATTTCTCAGTATATACCATTGGGTAATAAATATAAAAGAAACAAATTAAAACCAATGTGGCTTAGTAGAGAAGTAAAACAAGAGATTAAAAATAAGAAAAGGGCATTTAAAGCATTTAAATCAGGCAGATGTTGCTCCTATATTTAAAAAGGGTTCAAAATCCTTGCCTGGAAATTATAGACCTGTGAGCTTAACTTCTGTAACTGGGAAAATATTTGAAGGGATATTAAGGGATAATATTCAGGAATTCATTGGGAAGAACTTTATTAGCAATAATCAGCATGGTTTTATGAAACATAGGTCATGTCAAACTAACCTAATTGCATTCTATGAAGAGGTAATTAGAAGTATAGATCAGGGTGTTGCAGTGGATGTGATCTACTTGGACTTTGCCAAGGCATTTGATATGGTTCCTCACAATAAGTTAGTCTTCAAACAAAAAGAAATTGGTCTAGATGAATATTCCTGTTCTTGGGTAGAACATTGGCTTAAGGACAGAGTACAACGAGTTGTAATTAATGGTAAATTTTCAGGCTGGACAAAAATGGTAAGTGGTGTCCCTGAGGGTTCTGTTTTGGGACCACTTCTATTTAACATATTTATAAATGATCGTGAAATAGGCATTGAAAGCCATGTATCAGTGTTTGCAGATGACACAAAACTTTGTAAAGTAATAAAATGTGAGCAGGATATTGCTTTGCTACAGAGAGATTTGGATAGATTGGGGGACTGGGCACTAAAATGGCAGATGAAATTTAACATAGAGAAATGCAAAGTTATGCACTTCGGGGTTAAGAATGCACAAGCAACTTACTCACTAAATGGTAGTGAATTAGGGATAACCACACACGAGAAGGATTTGGGAATTGTTATAGACAACAAATTAGGCAGCAATATGCAATGTCAATCTGCAGTTGCTAAGGCCAGTAAGATTTTGTCATGTATAAATAGGGGCATATATTCTCGGGATGAAAATATAATTTTGCCTCTTTATAAATCGCTGGTAAGACCACACCTTGAATATGCTGTGCAATTTTGGGCACCTGTTCTAAAGAAGGATATCATGGCACTGGAGAGGGTCCAAAGACGAGCTACAAAATTGATAAAAGGAATGGAGCATTTTAGTTATGAAGAAAGGTTAAAAAAATTAAATCTGTTTAGTTTGGAAAAACAGCGCCTGAGAGGGGATATGATAACTTTATACAAATATATTTGGGGCCAGTACAAACCTTTATCTGGATATCATTTCATAAACAGGGTTAAACATAGGACACAAGGTCACACATTTAGACTGGAAGAAAGGAGATTTCATCTAAGGCAAAGAAAAGGTTTTTTTACAGTAAGAACAAGAAGGATATGGAATTCTCTGCCTGAAGAGGTGGTTTTGTCAGAGTCCATACAGATGTTTAAACTGAAATTGGATAAATACTTTCAAAAACATAACATACAGGGATATAATTTCTAATTAGTGGGGTAATAGCTGCTTGATCCAAGGAGACATTTGACTGCTATTTTGGGGTCAAGAAGGAATTTTTTCCTAGTTTGTGGCAAAATTGGAAGTGCTTCAGACCAGGTTTTTTGCCTTCTTTTGGATCAACAGCAACAACATTTGTGAGGAAGGCTGAACTTGATGGACGCAAGTCTCTTTTCAGCTATGTAACTATGTAACCATGTAACTATGTGGTTTAGTATGGTTCTTTTAGTGAACATTAGGCAGAGTAGGACCTGCCGAATATGGGGTACATTGGCGTTGTGGCAGGCTTATGCAATGTATGATCATATAATGTAACTAAATCCCCATACTTTTCATATATAGTGCTTAGTTATGTCTCCTCTTGTTTTGCCTAATATATCTTGTCTTGTTTTATTTTGTAATCCCAGTCCATGTACAGTCCTATCCTGCCCATGCTTAGTTAATGTTTCCTTATGTATTGTGTACATGTTCTGGGTTTAGCTTCCTATCCTTCTCCGGTTCTGGGTTCTATTAGTTCTGTCTTGTTTTCATGTTTGGTGCCTGTTCTAGTTTTGCCTTGTTTCTAGTACTGGATACATCTCAGCATTCATCTGCTCTGGCTTCCACTAAGCTGCTACAGGGTCTTGGTTTGTGGCCGCACAAACGCTGGTGCTCAACACCAGGTGGTGTGCGGTTACCCTGCACCGGGCCCTGTAATCCACTTCCACGCTGAAGACTCCCACTTCTCCACTTCAGGCATTCAGGGGTCCCGGTTTCTGTACCGCCACCCGTGACAGTTATTCAGAGTCTTTTGGTTGGAGAAAAAGGGGTTTCTTCAATCTTATTCCTTTTTAGAAAGGGAACAATTTGGTAATAGATGAGAAGGTGATGCACAGTACATGCATAAATTATTAGTTTTTTTTTCTGTTCCTTTCAGATTAGGGACCTTTAATGTATCCAATTTCCATGGTGTTGTTTTTTGAGGACTTGTGTAATAAGGTTTCTGCAGTATCACTTTTATTTGAGTCTTCATACAATTTATTCATTTCCTGCAGCAATAATTCAAATGAGGAGGGGCAAGGGTCAAAAGACTCAACTAGTTGATAAGCCCATTTAGCAGCATCTCCCTGAAGTAAGGAAATAATGTTTTTTATTTTCACATCATCATTTCTAAAAGTGCCAGGTCTCAGAGAAAACAAGAGTTTACATTCATGTTTGAACCCCCTGTAAATAGAACGATCTCCAGAGAATTTTTAGGAGGGTATATAGGAGGTTCGGGTTAATGGGAAAGGGTGTGCTGTTTTAAATTTTCAACTTGAGTTTGGATATCATTTAGTTTAGGGTGGAACTCCTGAATTAAAGGACCACTCTAGGCACCCAGACCACTTCAGCTTAATGAAGTGGTCTGGGTGCCAGGTCCTTCTAGGGTTAACCCATTTTTTCATAAACATAGCAGTTTCAGAGAAACTGCTATGTTTATGAATGGGTTAAGCCTTCCCCTATTTCCTCTAGTGGCTGTCTCATTGACAGCCGCTAGAGGCGCTTGCGTGCTTCTCACTGTGATTTTCACAGTGACAGCACGCCAGCGTCCATAGGAAAGCATTATGAATGCTTTCCTATGTGACCGGCTGAATGCGTGCGCAGCTCTTGCCGCGAGTGCGCATTCAGCCGACAGGTAGGAGAAGAGGAGGATCGGAGGAGGAGAGCTCCCCGCCCAGCGCTGGAAAAAGGTAAGTTTTAACCCCTTTCCCATTTCCAGAGCCGGGTGGGAGGGGGACCCTGAGGGTGGGGGCACCCTCAGGGCACTATAGTGCCAGGAAAACGAGTATGTTTTCCTGGCACTATAGTGGTCCTTTAATTGAGCAAGGTATTCCACTTGTGATTGAAGAGACTGAAGCCTCTCATTATTTCATTATAAGTAAGTTTGACAATTGTATAGGCACAATTAATCTAGCAAAGTCCTTTATCCAGTCCAAGGTAGCTCAATAGGAGATCAAGCAATAGTGAAGGAAATTCCAAAAGCAGAGTCAAGGCCAGTCTTAATTAGTTAACCAGCTAATCAAAGTTATAGTTGTATGAAGAGGAGATTCAGAAGGGATCCGGTGATGGAACACACAGTCTCTCTAAGAGTCATCCAAAGGATTAGGAAGGAAATGCATGCAATCAATCAGATTAACACATTAATTGTGCCCCGAGGTGTTGGAGATTGGAGTTTAAATAGTACTTAAATAGTACTTCCATGCTGTCTTAAAGGGCCAGTAATAGATGAATAAAATTCCTGACAGTGTGTGTGTTGGTGAGTGTGCAAGTGTGTTGGTGAGAGTGTGCAAGTGACAGTGTGTGTGTTAGTGAGAGTGTGCAAAGTGAATGTGTGTGTTAGTGAGCGTGCAAGTGATAGTGTGTGTGTGTGTTGGTGAGAGTGTGCAAGTGACAGTGTGTGTGTTGGTGAGAGTGTGCAAGTGACAGTGTGTGTGTTGGTGAGTGTGCAAGTGACTGTGTGTGTTGGTGAGAGTGTGTGTATGTCAGTGATAGTGTGTTAGTTAGAGTGTGCAAGTGACACTGTGCGTGTTAGTGAGAGTGTACAAGTGACACTGTGTGTATGTCAGTGATTGTGTGTGGGTGTGTCTTTTTTCCCCCTAAATGTGTGATTACTGTGTCTCTCTCCTATTTTCTAAATTTCTCACTGTGCATCTGCTTTCACTTAAAGGGACACTATAGGCACCCAGACCACTTCAGCTCATTGAAGTGGCCTGGACGCACTGTCCCAGGGCCCTTAACCCTGCAAAAGTAATTATTGTAGCTTTTCACAAACTGCAATAATTACTATTCAGGGTTAACTCCACATCTTGTGGCTATGCATGGGGATGTCCAGCATCACGTAAAACCCCATACGAAAGCATTGTATAATACTTTCCTATGGGGAAATCCTAATGCGGCCATTGAGGACTAAAGGTGGTGGCCGAGGCGTTGGACCGGGGTAAGTGACGGAAGGGGATTTTAAGGGGCGCTTGACAGAGGGGGAAGGTTGTTTTCCTGGCACTTTAGTTTCACTTTAATGTTTGTCACCGTGTCTCTTTCCCTGCAATTCAGAGTTTAGTGAATAGACCTCTGAGAGAATGTAGTTGCATTCATGAGGGGGCAGTAAAATGGATTGTAATGGATTGTTGGCTAGGTCAGCAAGAATCCTTGCACCAGCCCTGTTTGCCACTCACACAATTAATTCCTCCTCGACTCACATTAGTATGAAAAGCCCTAACCATACTTTGCTAGATTGGATTCTCACCAGTTGTCCTGATAGAATCCAGGAGGTTGGCATTCTCTCTAACAATTTCAGTGACCACTGTCTAGTATACTGATAGGCAAAAAAAAGACCACTAAATCTCCTCCTAAGATAATAATCACCAGGTCTTTCAAGAAATTGAATCTTGAATCCTTGCTAAACAACCTCAAGAACCTACTGTGACAAAACCACTGTTTTATAATGCCCAGCTTTTTGTATTTCGTCTGCTGTTCGTGTAGTTAGCCCTATTTCGTCTTTTCCTAAAAAAACAAACTACCGAACAGCCAGACCACCCGCACTGGGAGTGTGAAGTTCATTAATCACCCAGAAGCTGTGGTTAACCACAGATATTTGTTGAATGGCTGGGTGGTTGCCGTTCGTTTGAACGAACACGTGGCGGCGGTCATTTTAAACTGACAAACGCCCAGCGGTGTTGGTAGTCAACAGCGTGGAACTATTTTCAGCCACAATTTCACACAAACACCGCTGGGACCATCTAACTTCCACCTCGTTCGTATACCGCCGTGCCATTCGATACATTGAACTCACGAAAGAGACCAACCCCAGAAAACTCAATCCATGGAGCTAATGCTGGACATATTTCAAACGAACAGTCAGAGAACAGAACTCTTTTAGCTCCATGGCGATTTGACTGTGTTCGTGGGATCTGAGCGCTGTTCGACTATATTGAGCGCTCAGATCCAAGCTGTCTGGGGATATGTCGAATGGTGGGGTTCCGTTCGGGCAAAGTAAAGTTATGTATTTTAATGTACTTTTGTAGAATAGAAATATTCTCTCTACCTGGAGATAATTAAGTTTACTCTGGCCACTTAACCCAGTTATCTCCAGGATAGAGAGGAGGGATTTTACTGTTCATGTGGGAGTGTTATATTTTACTGTAAATTGATTGGCCACTGTGTTTTCTGTTACTGTCCTCCACAAGGTGCCTGTGGGAGTAACCCTTGCTGGAGGACCTGCATAAAAGGCCGAGCTGTGGCAATCAATAAACCAGATCGTTTTACCCCTTCATGAAGTCTTGGCTCATGTTTGGGGGATTGGGAGCTATAATTCACAACACCTTTGTATTGACTTGGATTTTGGGAGACGCTGCACGGATTTTCTCAGCTGGAGTGTAAGATATCAGTAACACCTACAATGAACAGAAATTATGTATAATCACAGATTTAGACTCTGCAATGTAATTTTTTTCAGTCCAAGCTCTTGTGAGTTTGGAATCTGCATGCCCCGATGCATAAAGTGTGAATAAAAGGAACTCACCTGCCTTGGATGTACCATTTTAGAGAATCATTGCGGTCAGAGTTCAAGTGTATTTGCTCCATGCACTGCATGCATCATTTTGCATACAGACAATGGCCCAATATTTCAGTGAAGATTTGAGCAATTATATATCAAACCCAAGAAACATTTAGAACAATACGCAACATACAATCCACCACCATCCACTCCTAACCCTCCACTGTCAAAATGGACAACTAAACCCTGCAACACCCCCAAGATGTAGCAAATGCCTTTGATTATTATTTTGATGGATGTGCCTCAACCCTGATTGCTAAGTTAATGAATGACACACATACCCAGACTACAAATGGAGATCAGGCCCTGCTAAGTTAGCAAACACCTCATATAGAGAAATAAGCTTTTAGATCTGTGCATGTTAGTGTCATTAATAAACATCTTAATAATCTAAAAATAAAAAACAGTGTGAGCCAGATAAAATCCCAGCAATGTTGTTGAAGCTCAGTGCGCCAGCAATTGCTAAATCTGTCACTACCCTAATCAATGAATCCCTGGTGTCTGGATCCATACCCAAACTTTGGAAGACTTCCAGTACCTATGTATAAAAGTGATGACAATACTTTGATTTCTAACTATCATCTGATATCATTGCTCCCTGTAGTGTAAAAAAATCAAAAACTATGAGTATTATCAACAATCAAACTATCTGACCCCTGATCAATCGGGGTTTCGTCCAAATCACGCAACTGCCCTCTTAAAGGATTCCAATAACATTCAAATTGGCATAGAACAATGAGACTTAACTGTAGCTATTTTCCTTGATTTTGCCAAGGCCTTTGACATGGAGGATCATGGCATTCTTTCAAAAAAACATAAAAACTCAGGTACTGTTGATCATCCTGTAACCTGGATTCGATCGTATGTATCAGATCATTTGCAGTATGTGACAACTTCTGATTGCACCTCCCTCTCCTGGTCACGTGTGGTGTTCCCCAAGGCTCCATACTTGGCCCCCTTCTATTCACATTTATTTTTAAATTATCTGCCTAACATCTGCAAAGCCTCAACTTTACATATGTATCCAGACGACACCATAATCTACGCTAGTAAACCCAATCTACTGCAGCTTAAGGCTGTGCTCCAAGACCAGTTCACAGAGGTAGAAAAGTGGATTGCAGATAACGAACTCTTCCTAAACAATGACAAAACTTTCACAACGATCTTTGGAACCGTACCTAAATTACATAAAATGACAAAATTCCCAACTATTTATCAGAACAAATTCAAATAGCACACTGACCACTGTCTGTTCTTTCAAATATCTAGTTATGTTGTTAAATGCCAATTTATCATTTGGCCTTCATATAGAAATACTTTATCCAAAACTAGGTTCCCTATACAGAGACAAGTCCTGCCAAAACCATATAGTAAGGAAACAGTGCAACAAATGCTAATGCCAGTCTTTGATTATGGTGATGTAGTGTATGCACCTGCGCTGCAAACCCACCTTCATAAACCTAATAAGTTTTATAACTCATTTTGTCACTTTGTATTACAATGTAATTACATGACCCACCATTGTGACATGTTAAAAAGCTAAACTGGCTATTGCTGGAATCCCGGCACACCCTTCATCTTTCTAGCCCTGTGTTTAAAAGCTTTTTTTGGGAAGCTCCCACCCTACCTGCATAGAATGCTCTTCCCACCTCCTATAGCCTCCAATCCAGTACCAACACTTTATGTAGCATAGTGCAATACAAAAACAAAGTGACTCAATCCTCCTTTTCATACAGAGCACTGCAATTTTGGAATGATCTCATGGGCACAGTCAAATCTTCATTCAATCTGAAATCCTTTGAGAGATCTATGGCAACATACCTTAATGCAGAATGCACCTGTAATCATGGTTCACTATATTTCTTATCTGTTATGTGTTTATTTGTTTATACATACATACAAATTTACATCTTTTGTCCGGGAGAACTTAGCAAAATGTGATTTTTGTCACAAAGATTAGACCTTTTGATAGAACCTGAAGGTGCATTGTGGAGAGATTAATGTAAGATAAATTCACAATTTCCATTGATTTGTTTCTATTTTCTTGCTTTTGGTTTATACTTAGTTCCTTTTTGAAAGCAAGATACAGAACAAAAGAACTATATTTTAAATCAATTGTCAATTACTATGTTTGTTGTAATTGCCCTTACTTCTACGTGAATTCCCATACTGGAATTTTGATTTAGGGTAAGTGGGATTGTGATGCAATATACATATCTGTTCATGTGAAGACTCACAGGTCAGTGGTGTTTCAAAAAATTGCAAAAGTCTAGTAATACTAGTAAATGTGCGTGTATAAAGGTTTTCCATTATTTTTTTACTTATAAAATATTTTAAGAGGTAAATCTGTTCAAATGCTTAGCACCAAACTTTACTATCAACTTCATAGCAAACCTTTTACCTTCTATATAGAGAATCTGATACCATTTTTATCAATGGCACATCTATGGTGCTTGTTTGCAGAAGTACTCAATGTTAATTTGAAGGCATCCATATAACACCCTTTCGGCATCCATATAACACCCTTTCGGCATCCATATTTTTAAACTTGGAAGAAAAAGATTCTAATCGGCCTTAATCTAGTCCCTCCTATACCAGATTTGTTCCCAAAGATAATCTAAAAAAATCTTAAAGGAATCTTAAAACTGTAAGATCGATGCAAAGTCTCTCGGGATGACTCATGATGTTTGAATTTTCTCATGCATAGGGTTGTTGTACCCTTGTAAATTCCCAAAAATGAAACTCTGCTAAAAAAATTAGAACACTGTTCACTGAGGAATTTCTGAGACAATCTATGTTGGCATGCTCAGAATGACATCTGATGAAGGACATCAGGAGCCCAATAATGTCAACAAGAGACATTTAAAAAAAAAAAAAAAATTTGTGGAGAGAGAGTAAAAAAGTATCCAAAAATATTCATTGGGAACAGATAATAGCACTATGTCTCTGTTATCTCATGATGTATACTTAATTTAGTTAGGTGGCAAGCTTCACAGAAGATAAAATTGAATGGGACGAACAAGGTACCAAAAATATTGTTTCTTCTTGTTTTAATAAAGAAATCATCACACCTGCTTTTATTACATACAAATTTCACCCTCACATTAAAGCCAGTTTACTAATATATAATCTTTTAACTAAATGTTTGGACAAGCATTCAATTACTGAATGCAGGCATGCGTGTCATTCAGAACCAAATACAAAGATAAACATTAGAAATTAGATTGACAAACATATTCCTGCAAAGTGAATTTGTGATTAAAATTTGTGCATGCTCTAACAACTTTGTATTTTGGAATTTTTATTATTATAGCCCCATTTGTGCACAGCCCTTTACAATAGTAGATAGATTACAATAGAAAATTAAGGAAATAACTGCTCCAAACAGATCCTTCGAAGGATGCCCTTTCTACTGTAAACAATGTAAACACTTTAGTTATAATGAACAATTTTATTGTAAGTCTTGTTATTTTAACTTTTTTGATGGAGGTGAACCAGCACTAAATGTCCTTTCACTTATATAAAAATAGTTACCCTGTCAGCACTTGCACACCTTCAGCTCACTGTAACAATTGGCTCTACACTGCAAATATCAGTCCTCCCTGAGTTAGCATTAGCTGCAGATCCAGCAGTTTGTGAGCGATTACCTTTCTTATAGCTACATTGTTTAGTCCAGGCATGTCGGAATGCAGGCGAGATAGATTGTAGAGCATGAGTCTGTGCTGGGCTTCTCCTCCTGCAAACACACAGCAGGGCTTTGAGCTCTGAGCGAAAACTTTCATTCAGCCAACAGTAGATAAATGGATTATAGCAGGTGCTGCTCATGGCAAACCAGTGGAAAGCAAAGTACAGGGCATTGTTGCTGTTGATGACTTTACTTGACATAAGTACCAAATAACAATTTAAAGGGAACCAGCAAACTGCAAAAATCACAACCACTAGCATCAACATCTTGAGAGTCATCTTTTTCTTACGCCTGTGGGCATAATATTGCTCCATGGTAATATCCCCAATGGCATTTCTTAGCCAGAGCTTCTTTGCCACCATGGTACAGGTAATTGAAATAACAATTAGTGGCAACACATACAAGAGTACAAAGGTTGCTAAGTCCAGATACTTCCAGAAGAGATCAGCAGGATAGGGGAAACTGGGGAGGCAGACCATGCGCACGGTGTTCCTGGGGAAGAGAGGACAAAAGACAAGATGTTATGAACTCATCATAGAAATTGAACTCACAATGTTAACTTTGAACAACGAATTCACATATTAGCAGGCAATCAGATAAAAATCATTAGGAACTAAACTAGACTTGTGCATTTGTATTTGGACAAACCACAATACTTACAAAATCTGCCAGATTTGGTGGTTTGTGTTGGTAACAAACTGAAGGATTGCCAAATGTTCAAATGAATTGAAGAATGAATTGTGCAATGGAAACAATTCTCCCATGTGATTCGTTCTGATGATGCCCTTCTTGCTTGCATTACATAAAGGGGAGAAGGAAGGGGGGAGTGTGCTGATTTTGTTTGGAAATTCCCGTGGCATAATGTATAAGGAGCTTGGCCAAAGGTTTAAGCTGAATCCCTAGTTCCATCAAATGATTGTGAGAAAGATTATATAAATATATAGCAGGGTTAGATAAATATCTTCAATTTTATTGAATATGCTGTGCCATTTAGGGCACCTGTTCTAAAGGAGGCTATCACAGTACTAGAAAAAGTGCAGAGATGAGCTACAAAATTGATAAAAGGAATGGAGCATTTTTGTTACGAAGAAAGGTTAAAAAATTTAAATCTCTTTAGTTTGGAAAAACGGGGATATGATAACATTATACAAATATATTCGGGGGCAGTACAAAACATTATCTGCAAATCTATTCATAAACAGGGCTATACATAGGACACAAGGTCCTATGTATAGGAGATTCAACCTAAGGCAAAGAAAAGGCGTTTCTTTTACTGTAAGAACTATAATAGTGTGGAATTCTCTGCTGAAGAGGTGGTTTTATCAGAGTTTATACAGATTTTTAAACAGCAATTGGATAAATACTTGCAAAAACATACAGAGATATAATTTCTAATTAGTGGGGTAATAGCTGCTTGATCCAAGGAGATATCGGTCTGCCATTTTGGGGTCAAGAAGGAATTTTTTCCTAGTTTGTTACAAAATTGGATGCACGTCAGACGAGGGTATTTTGCCTTCTTTTGGATCAACAGCAAAAACATATGTGAGGAAGGCTGAACTTGATGGACGCAAGTCTCTCTTTTTAGCTATGTAACTATGTATTAGAATGTATAATTTCAAAATTATAGCATGTAAAGAATTTTAGTTGTACTCCAGTTTCCTTTCTGCATTGCACAAAATCAGTGAGTTAATTTAATTTTAGTTTTTTAGTTGTACTGGCAGTGAATTAACTGACTGTGCTAGTGATATTTTCTTTTCTTCACAATTAGCAGTGAAGTGAACTATTGTTTTGAAATTAATTTTGTAAATTGGTTAGTTTTAACTTGATATTTTCAGTACAGCAACTAGCGATATCTATAAATTAATTTATATATTAGTTTGCCCAGACTCTGACTGTGTGACTGTAAGACCTCAAAGTTTAGATTTATACTAGCACTAGGTTAATTTTTAATAGCTACATAGGCCAAAAAGAGACGTGTCCATCAAGTTCAGCCTTCCTCACATTTAAACGGTATTCCACAAAACCAATTTTTAGTTATTAGTCATTTAAATTTTGAATACTTTTTCATAGCCAGAATTTCTGCTTCTCTATGTGCAGGATACACTTGTTAGACTGTGCTGCACTTTTTGTTATAAAGTCATATAATCTTCTGCCTCAATTTTTGGGGCTAAGTTAGCTAGAGACTTATAGTGTTGTCAACACAGTTTCAAATTACAAGTGATGCAAGGGAAACTTTCATTGTATATAGAGCAGAGTCTATTGCAGTTGGGTTGCTTCCTTTTCTCCATTTTTATTCTTTTCTTTCTAAATAATTCTGCAAGACCTGTGCCATGAATTCATTTGTTTGGATCAGCATGAGAAAATATTCCAGTCTGTTTGAACAAAACATTTCAAATGATAACTCTGCAGAAGTCACCATTAACGCCTTTGGCAATTTTTGTAGAGAAATCTTTTGAAAAGTTTTTTGCAACAGTTTGGAATTATTTCCTATGCTAATTCAAAGGAAATTGAAGCCCCATTTAGGTAGAATAGCCTTACCTTAGCTAGCTAGTATAAAAGAAGGTATTGCAAATTGCAATACAGTTAAACTAAAACTACCAAACTGCAACATCAAATTTAAAGTCAACACTAAAATACAAGCCCCAAAACCTTTAACACTTTAATTTTGTTGTTTTTGATTGGTTTTGTTGATTACACGTTCACAACTGTTTTTTTTTTTGTTTTTTTTTTATACATTTTCGATTTTATTAGAAATAAATCCTCATATTCCTAAGTGAGGGTCATGTTCCAGCCACCACCACCACTATCTCCATCACCAGTAGTGCTACTATGTTACCAGTACTATTTCTCACTCTCTGCTTCTATACAATAGTGCATCATTAGCTAGGCCCAAGCATCAGTTATAGTGGGAAACCAGCAGGGCCTTCTAAGGGTACTACTACAAAGGCTTGTTATAGCTCAAAGAGTAAAAATAAGTTCTGCACCCAGCTTCTTCTACTTTTATCCTCTCTTTATTTGTCCATGAAGAAAGGGAAATGGAAGGTGCCAAACAAACAAAGTTTGGCACAAAGTATAGCAGCAGGATTGGGACTGAGAGTGAGGCTCACAAGCAGCCACTTTCATGTACATGTATGCTGTTTTCTTAGCCAAGCCAAGACCGCCAGCTCTATTACCAGTGCTGCTACTACCACTGCTAGTGGCACTGCAGTTCCTCCTACCTTTTGTTCTGCCATGATCCCAGTTATGTTTAATAGTAGTCATGTCTGATCCTAGGGTCACTGATGCCTGGGTGCAAGAATATGTTTGTCACCTCCAGGTAGCTGTGGCTATATCACTAACTCCTCCCCTTAAAAAAAACAAAAAAACATATCCAACCACACTCATTGTATTTATCACCCACTTGGTTCCCCTCTTCTCTTTCCATTTTCCCACCTGGCTTCCCTACTTCCTTTCAAGTAATATTCCATCCCTAATTCAACATTCTAATTAACCCACTCTTGACCTCAGAAGCCTCAAACCGTATTTCAATTACCTCCTCCCTGGTCTATCACAGTGGGTCAGTTCTCCCACGCATATAGCTCGCAATACCATTGATCTTATTTTTTTTGATGCATGTTCTCCAATCTCCTGCTCCCCTCTGGCATGCACTTCAAGCATCAAACTTGCACCTCTAGGAAAATACGCCTCCAACAATGGCACACTAAGTCTACCCACTACCTACAGAGATGCTCCCGATCAGCTGAACGCTACTGGAGGTACTCTTACCTTGTCGGCTTTCTCCTTTATAAATTCATATTTGCATTTATACAGCGCTGTCCTTGCTTAAAAATCACACTTTTCCTCTCACATTAGTTCATACTACCATGATTGCACACATCTCAACACCTTGAACTCTCTTCTTTGCCCTATGCGGACTTTGCCCAAACTAACCTTGGTGCTTGTAAAATAACAGAGGAGTCCTAGTCCCCCCCCCACCTGTGGCAACCGCTGGCCATCTGCCACATAATTAACCAATGTGCCTTCTAGCACTATCACTGGCTAAATTGTACTTAAAATTATCATGACTTTCATGAAAGCGAATGGATGAAATTTTGCAAAGATGAGTTTGGTTACGAATTTTATTACAATAAGTGATTGTGAATCTTATACTTTTGTATAGGATTCAGATACAAAAGCATCAATTTTAATTAAGACACTGAATGTATTCTGGCAACTGTGTAGATTCGCTTGAGCAGACTGAATTCCAACCACATTTGGCATTAGTAGATATGTGAATTGCCAATGCGGTCGGAATTCGGTCATTTTCACTGGATTGTGATAGTGAATAGACCCATGAGTTTCTTTTGGTCATCAGGTCTTGGCCTGTACTATACTATCTCTATATGTATACTAATTCTAAAAGCAACCCTTTAACTTCTTTCTATTTCTAATACAAGATGTCAAAATACCAAAAAGACTGTATGATGCAACAAATCACTCTGCAAACTGTGTCAACATATATGTCGAAATAACACAGCCAGACACAATAAAAAATCATACAACATTAAGGGATCATATTCGTGCACACCTGTGAATGTGGTGTACATGATACAGTGTACAGTGTGTGACAAAGGTTGCTACATTGGAGAAACTGGCCTTAAGCTGCATCTCAGAATGAATCTACAAAGACACTCAATCAAGAACCACAAGGAAAACAGATATTGTACCCCTGTTGGTCATCACTTCACCCAGACTGGTCACTCCATCCAAAACCTCAGGATTAAAGTTCTTAAATGGAATTTTAAAGACTCTCATGAACGAAAGACATCTGAGATGAAAATAATCATTTCAACACCAGAAATGAAGGACTTTATGTAGACTCTGGGTTTCTCACACACTACCAAAACGGTTTCTAAACACGCATCTTAATGTCTTATATAGTTATTTTTCAATATTCTCATCTCCCCTTTATTGGATCAATTTATATACATATATATATGCAGCTATATACTTGCATGCCCTGCTCTATTTTTTTGTTTTTCGCTTTTTTATAACTGGCTTATTGACTCTTCTCTGCTTATTTACATTTTCTGGCTATTCTCCGCCATCCTGAACCTTTTACTTCCAGGCACATCTTCTGCTATTTATGACATCCCACTCCCTCCCTCCCCTTCTCTAACATCAGTTGTTTTAGCTGTTTAACTCTATCAGATTGATCAGTATTGCTTCAGACCTAAAGAAAAGAGGAAAACTCCCAAAAGCTTGTCTTTGAAATATTATGTTAGTCCAGTAAAAAAGGTATCATTGCTTACTGCAATACTCTGGTATTTTGGCATCTTATCTATTGGATAATCCAATCTACACTATTTCTAATACAAACTATAAGCAGATGATACCGAGATTTCAGTTCATGGTCTTCTTCCTCCAGTTAAATCTCAAATTAACATTAACACTTACATATTCTCCTCTTTGAGGTTTGACACGTATCTGACACATAACCTGTAAATCTAAACTTATAGACTTTACTATTTACACTTGCTCCCATTATCACCACTATTAAAAAGATTTTAGTTTATCAATAATGTTTTCTTTTAGAAATATTTTCAAGAAAGTAGGAAAATAGAGGTGACTCTATACTGAGATAAAGAAAGGAACCCAGAGCCTAAATTTAGAGCGAATATATACTGTATAAATGGAAGTTAGATTGAAAAAGTTGAGGACACATATGTTTAGCTTTATGAAAGAAACAAGCAAAAAAAAAAAAAAAACACATATTCCAGCACCATCCACTGTATAATTTTGACCATCACTGACTGGATGCTTAAAGGGCATCAAAACAACTTTAGCTTAATGAAGCAGTTTTGGTTTATTGTTTTTATAAAATCTGAAGAAAAAATGTACACACATTCTAAATTTGACCTCCAAAATCTGTTACGCATTTACAACCACCAAAAAATACCTGTGCTAAATAGTTTCTAAATTTTGTCCTGAGTTTAGAAATGCCTATGTTAACATGTTCTTAGTTTTGTTTGTTTTTTGCAAGTTATAGGGCAATAAGTACAAGTAGCGCTTTGCTATTTCCAAACCATTTTTTTTTTTTACATTTTCAAAAGTTACGTTGTAACACTTATATCTGTCAGGAATCCCTGAATAACCCTTTGCATGTATATATATTTTTTAAAAGAAGACAACCTAAGGTATTAAACTTGGGGTATTTTGACTCTTTTCATGCAACCATTTTACCACCAATCTATGCCAAATAAAAAAAAAAAGAATAATTAGTGATTTTTTTTGGCACACATAGCAATTTAAGAATACATGTACGGAGAACTTTAAGGGTTACTGCCAAAGAACACCCCAATATGTGTTCAGCAACATCTCCGGAGTTCAGTGGTACCCCCATGTATAGGGGTATCGGGTTCTCTGGGGGCTAAAAAACATTATTTGGAGGGTGTACATTCCATTATTATCCTATTTGGGACATTTTTTATATAATATATATATATATATATATATATATATATACACACACTTTTATTTCCTATATATATATAATATATTATAATTAAAGCATTTTATAATATATTATATAAGTGTATATTGAGATATATGTGTAATATATGTATAATATATTATAAAATGCTTTTTTTAATTTGATTTATTTTTAACTTTTTAGCAGCCTAGGGGATTGTTTGACAGCTCAGACAGTCCCCCCTGCTGGCATCTCCTAGACTCCTATTGCGGTGATGTGATCATATTGCCCTGGAGGGCAAGGGTTGCTGGACCTGCTACAGGGGGACTGGGCTCCTATACGTACCTAGTGTGTCCACAGTCATTAAGGGTATATATATATATATATATATATATATATATATTTTCATCTATCTCAAAATACAGTTAGAATAAAATGATATATATAATTTATTTTTAGAAATATAATTATTTTTACAGTTGTTTTATTTATTTTTAACTAATTATTTATTTTTTATAATATATATGTATATATTAATAATAAATACACTTAGTATGACGTTATTTATATTTATATATATATTATACATGCAGGGCAGAGACCAGCACTCATGGTCTTTAAATAGTTTAAAAATCTTCAATCTTTATTGTAAATCCATTAAAATTATCAACGTTTCAGTCCCAATCAGGGACTTTCATCAGGATCCTTATTCCCTGGATTGCAAGCACATACATTTAATTGTCTCCATCTTTTGATTGCTAAAGGTGTTTTGGTGCCTCTAGTATCCCTTTAATCAAACTGAAAAATCTTCTATTTCTGATTACAAAATAGTTAACTTTAAATTGTAGACATAATGAAAGGTCTGACCTCTTAACAGAGGTCAGTCAAATACCTTGAGAAAATATCCATTAATGTTTGCTTAGAACAAATCCATCATCATTCTTGCTTATACTATGACACATACCTCCAAGCTTACTTCTTCAAATCCATTATCCTCATGACATCTCCTATGCTGCCTACTTACTGATTTAACCAATGGGTAAAACATTTAACCATATTGGGTTCTGAACATACATTGTTATTGCATTTGTCCAATTTAAGTCAAGCACATGTCACATGGGTCAAAAAGGAATTATCTCCAGATACATTTTAAATCTTGCTCTTAAAGGACCACTATAGGCACCCAGACCACCCAGCTCAATGAAGTGGTCTGGGTGCAAGGTTTCAGAGGTTTCAGAGAAACGGTTATGTTTACTTTAAGGTTAATCCAGCCTCTAGTGGCTGTCTCATTGACAGCCGCTAGAGGCGCTTCCCACTGTGATTTTCACAGTGAGAAGACGCCAGCGTCCATAGGAAAGCATTGAGAATGCTTTCCTATGAACTGGCTGAATGTGCGTGCGGCTCTTGTTGCACATGCGCATTCAGCCTATGACATCAGAAGAGGGAGGAGAGTCCCCAGCACTGAGGTAGCCCAGCTTTGGAGAAAGGTAAGATTTTAAGCCCCTTCCTCCCCCTTCAGCCTGGCAGAAGTGGGACCCTGAGGGTGGGGGCACCCTCAGGGCACTATAGTGCCAGGAAATTAGTTTGTTTTCCTGGCACTATAGTGGTCCTTTAATTAAAATATTTGGGTTGTACCAGTGGACTCTATGTGCTTATTTTTGGCTTTTGTGCCACTTTAAGTTGGTTTGTGATGATTTACCCAGTTTAACTCTCTATTATGAATAGATATATTTGTGTATACATGCAATGAGTTATACAAGTTAATTCACTAGATAAAAAATAGTGGGAATTCAAACTTAATTCAAAGTCAATTAAAAAGTAAAGGCCAGAATGGCAAAACTTAAAATATAATTGGCTTGGACAATTTTTAAAGTTCAGTTAACTTTTATAATTCTTGTTGTAGTGAATATCCCTGTTAGAAAGTCATTTGAGCTTTGATTACTTACCCAATGTAAAACTGTTCTAGCTTCTGATAAATAGCATGTGGCAAAGAGAATCCACTTGCCATGAACCAGATGACTACAATGCAGATAATGCCTTTTACCGCAGACATCCTTGGCTTTAGTGGGTGCATGATTACCTGAAAAAGAAATAAACATGTTTTTGTCCATCAAACCACAATCAATTTGTTTCAGTTTGAAAAGAGTTAAGTATAACTGTTAAGTATAACTGCTAGTGCTCTCTCTAAAACTAAAAACAAAACAGAACAGTTTAAAATTAGAGTTAGACAAATGATATACTTCAAAGTAATATACAGCAATGCACTTAAAAGAAAACAATTAATAAACATTAATTTATAATTTATCAAAAGTTATTATTGGTGTTTAGCAGCATGCAGCCAATATTCCAATACTGATGTCATCCACCAAAATAATTAATGCATTGCAAGAATGGACAATCTTAAAATAAAAAGAATATGTCCAATAGTGCATAACTTATCGAGACATATAAACCTCTTAACTTCACCATCATGCAAAGAAAATTATGTGCACATACAAAAAAATAAATCCTTTGCTGATCCATAGAAAAGATTGGAAATTGGTTTTAACTACAGCAATTTGCAAAAGAGGGGGGTCATTACAAAAGCTGCAAATACTAGAAAACACAGGTGGTTTACATGTTTAATACTTAGTTGGTTTTTGTTTGCAAATCAGTTGTTTTTTTTTAATTTTCATTATTTGCATCACGTAGAACAGCTTTTGATGTGGCATTTTCTGGGGCTAAAGAAAGACAACTTCTGATGGTAAGCATAATTTTTAATTTTACAGTTATTAGTTTTCTTGTCCCTGCCCCTTTACTATTATTAGGGTGAGGATGAGTAGGTTGGTGGCTAGGGGATTAGGGACTCCTAGTCATCCAAGGGAAGGTTTGAAGGTGCCAATAATTGTGAGGGTAGATAGTGGTATGCCAATCCCCCTTGGTTTCATTTTCATAGAGCACCCACCCGCCGCTCCCATGGGTGGAGGTCTTTAATCTTGATTACATTTCTCCAATTTATCACAAGCGCATGTTATATGGGTCAAAAAGGAATATCCAAGGTACCCCTTGAATATCAGAAGGATGTACCTCACTTTTCTTTTAATAAATAGCCCCCACTTGATAGGCCTTAGTGATTTGTACATCCCCTATTATTTATTTTCAAGTAGGCATCGGGTGGGGCATGGGCAACTATCTCCACCACTCTGTTTTTTAACAGGATCCTTCCCCGTGGCAACATCTGCCCAGTCTCTAGTTTTAGACAGTTAGTAGAAATTATCATTCACTTGCAAAAAAGAAAGTGAACAATAGTTTCGAAATGTGGATCCTGCTGCATTCATTTTGTCCCTATTCAGTTTAAAATCTGTGCTTCTTGAAACATTGGAATCGTATACTTTGGATAGGATTCACATGCAAAATCACCAGTTTTAATCAGGACACTGAATGCATCTGGGCGATTGCTGCAGATTCTGACAAAATCCAGTGTTTAATGAATAAGCCCACTTGTCTCATGCAAAAAAATTAACAATGGTATAGATGCAAACTAGTCTTTCACACTAGGATCAAATTACAAAATGTCAATCTACTATCTCCTGCTCAAAGTTGCTTCAAGTGTCACTGGCAGTTGCTAGCTAGCTAAATACTGCAGAAACCTAAACCTAGTCTCATGCTAGAATCACAGACTCAGGCTATCTCCACACAGGCACAAAAAGGGTAAAACACACAGTATCAGCTGGCCTGTCTCCCTCAGTTGCTGCATTTACATTGTCTGGAAATAATCCTGCTTGGAAGTGTAGATTATTTTACAGTTCCTTATTCTTTCCTTCTATTGGTTGTTGGTCACTTGATCTGCAAAGAAAATCAATTTTTAATGACTGTCCCCTAACCACCAAACATCATGCCCATATGACTGATGGACAAAAGACTTCTTGTCCATAATGGCAAATTAAGCTTCCAGAATCAAGAACCAAAACTAGCAAGTTCAAGCTTTTAAATTTAAATAACCATATCTACTCACCCTCGTTACATTGAGGGGAGGCACAATAAAACTAATAATTGGTTGGCTAGTAAGACATGAAAGTGTCGAGACAATTGGGGTATAGACAATAGAATGTCGACCACCATTATTTATTTTACAGTCACCCACCAGATGTCCATGGGTGGGGACACGTGAGGAGACTATGTCCTCCTTGTATTTAACATGCCCATCCTGTGGGATGGGGCATTTATAGCATCTGGAGTATAATCATTGCCCAGTAACTAGTTTCAAACATTTAGTAAATATGCTTCCACTTGCCGCATTGCAAATAGGGTCAAAACGTTTTATATATTTATATATGTTTAAAACTTTTTTTAATGTGGTACATCGCTAGCAAGCACAGAATTAACACTTGCACATGTTTTTTTTTTTTTGCTCTCTGCGCACAGACTAGCAAGTGAAGTATAATTTGTGACTATGTATACTAACATATGCATTCGTTTTGTGACTCTTACAAATCCCATACTTTGTAAACAGTTCATCAAATGCATCTGGGCGATTGCTGCAAATTCATTTAGTCTGGCCAAATTCTGATTGTGTTTAGCATGAGAATTGCCATTGCGGTTGGATCGATCATTTTTACCAGATTTTGTCTTCATCCTGCAATTGGTCATCTTTATCTTAACTCCCTGTCAGTCATCATTATAAGAGGTACCCTTTGCACCTGGTATTTACCATAGATAAACCTACAGAGAAAAGGCAAAATCAAACAATGTTTCTATTTCTCATCCTCATTTGCAACGTGTGCCTTGGTTATACCTGGGTTGAACTGGACTGTCATGTCATTTGCTTTAATACTAACGGAAAAGAGCATCATATGACAAAGGTTATCAGAAGTTATGCTTTATTCAATGGAGTAATTTCTTGAGATAGGTAGAACACTGTAGCATTAGGAATACATCTCTGTATTCTTAACGCTATGGCCCTAATGCTCCTTGAAGCCATTCTTCCAAGCCCTCTAATTAGTGTACGATAGGGTTTTGGGTGGACTGTAGGTACTATGACAACTTCAATAAAATAAAGTTGTTTAAGTACCTACAGTGTCCCTTTAAGGTCACTAAACTGTTATATGCTTATATCTGCATGCACATTTTATTAAAGTAACTGTTTTTTTTCTTTTCTTTTCAAAATTACGAATTTACAGCAAATCTTACAGACACATTTTCTATGTCAGGAGAAATCAAATCTTTGTTCCTGTTATACTGAAAATTGTTGTGCTACACCTTTTCCATTCCCGAATTTCCCATAGATGTCTCAAACTCCTCTCTTTCAATCCATGTGTAGTTTGACACGTAACGTGTCAAATTATCATTTCAATATACAGTATATAATACACATTGAACCAAATTTTTTTTATTTTAAACAGATTTCTAATTGTATCAATTAACTTGTGTTTTAAAATGACGTGACAGCATGCCTTGTATCAATTATATAGATAACTCCCCACGGAGTTGTTCTTATCACAGATAAAACAATGATGAGAAAATGTGCATAAAATGAATCAGTCATTCAAAATCCTCATTTTGATAAATTAATTCAAACAGTAATATCAACATAATACAACATTGCTTTAACTGAGTTATAATATATTTAATGTAAACATTATTTGGAGTCCATAGCAGTTATTATGCATGGAGGAGACCATCGCACAAATAGGCCTTGTATAACAGTTTTATGAAACCATGGGCAGTAGTTATTGTTTATTAGACTTGTGTAAATATTTATTATTTCGTTACTTGCCTGAAAAAAAACACTTGAAGTGTGTAGTGAATCTGTGGCTTTCCTAAATGGATTCCTGATACATTTGAAGTGCTAAAAGACTATTGAGGTGTGCTGATAGCTACTTAAAGGATCACTATTGTGTCAGGAAAACAAAGCAGTTTTCCTGACACTATAGTGCCCTGAGGGTGCCCCTTCAGCAGCTTACCTTAATCCTAAGGACGCGCTGGGTGATGGAGGCGAAATATGCCTCCAGCGTCGCAGATGCGCCTCTAGTGGCTGTCCGGAAGACAGCCACTAGAGGGTGGATTAACCCCAAATGTAAACATACCAGTTTCTCTGAAACTGCTATGTTTGCATCTGAAGGGTTAAAACCTGAGGGACCTGGCACCCAGACCACTTTATTGAGCTGAAGTGGTCTGGGTGACTATAGTGTCCCTTTAACACATAAGTTATGCTTAGAGCAAATATTTCTATGACTTGTTAAATTACAACTGCAGAAAACTTTACATGTACAACCAGGGGCGGATCAAAAGGGAGTGGCACTGGAAGGTTATTAAATTGCAATGCTGTGTATATAAGATAAATAGATGATAGATGCATAGAGACCTATATATGGACAGAATATGCATGTATATTTCAAAGTATTCTGACACACAAATTGTCACAGACATACACAAGCACACAGACATACGCACGCAAACACAGACTCTCTGACAGACAAACACAGGATCTCTACAGGCAAACTTATTGGCACAAAAACACACAAGCTCACTACCACTCAAGGCAGACTAGGTAGTTGATGCTTGCTTGCACCTGCAGTGCTATAGAGGGGAATGTAGAGTTTTGTTCGGTGAAAAAAGTACAGTATTTACCAAGGGTTAATCCCAGCTCCCATGGTCCAAGGGTAAGCGCTTCTGCACATACCAAGTCGTAGAGCTCCTATTTCAAAATATGGGAGCACATGGTTCTAATTTCCTGCAAAGGAACAGCTCCAGACTTAGAGCATAGTCTTAGTTTGCTCCCCAGTTACCATCACTGCGTAAAGCGAGCAGGCAGCATTGTCCTCATGGCAATGACCTAGTCTAGGCATACTCTCAGAGTAATCCTAGTGGGGTCCTCACAGGCAACATGATCAGTCCATGACATGGCAATAGTGGTTTTTGCCTGTCTGGCCTGGCACCTCAGTGGTAAATTGTAATACTCATAAAGGTTAAGGGCTGACTGGTTCAAAGAAGTAGCAGGCAGTAATACCAAGATGCTGGAAATGAAGTGAAATAGTGGCCTGAACATAGTTTCTGTTGTGAAAATGGCTGCCAGCCCAAATATGAATACTGGAAAGGATAGACCTTCTCACTGTGACTATTTTTAGTTCTCAGTCAAAATATGCTGTCTGAATCCAGAGTGCTCCTTTCTCTGACTTTGCAATCTACCTGGTTAGAACTGAGCTCTCTGGCTCTGTGGCACAAAACATTCAATGCTGGTATTGCCAAGGCTGCCATTAGCACACTTTGAATCTTTTAGAACCCCCATGAGGTGGAGAAAGGGACCAATTAACACACCTAGGTAACGTGGCCACACCTGAATTCTGCAATACTGTGTGGTTAGGGTTATATTTCTTTAACTCTACTGCATTTCTCTAAAGGGCCCAAGAGTTTGACCAGGCTACTTAATAGGGTACTGCCTGAACCCCCTTAATGGCAGCACTGGGTGTCAAGCGCTCAGGGCACCACATTAATGCAGATATAGTCTGCATGGCTGATGGTTTAGCAGACAAACAATAGATTGTATATTGTTAGCCATAAGCTACAGGCAATTTGTTTTCTGCACTTTTTTATTTTTTTAATTCTTTATTTTTGTTGTGCTTGGTGGTGCAAAATTTGGTTCATCTCTCATCTTACCAATTTATAAGAATGATTTAAAAATGTGTTATATGGTCAATTTCGGTATTACATGCAAGAGTGATTTAGATTATATTTACATTCTGTGTACAGAGTGTAATGGTTTTCATCCAGGCTACATTTTCTTTAAATTATTCCCAGCCTATATTTTGTAACAAACTAGTCATATTATTTTAAAAGGTAATAATTAAGGTCTCAGTTTAATATTTTTGTAATATTTCTTTTTTCAAATATATTTTATTAGAGAGTTTTTTTTTTTTTTTTTTCATATATTCTCTAGTGTCAGATTTAGGATTTCTTTAATTGACGGTAATTTGGGAGATTTCCAGTATCGGGGCAGCAATTAAAATACGTCCTATAATTATTTTGTCGATTTTATTTATGGAACGATGAAACTTTTTAAACAAGCCTAATTCTTACGTAAAATAAGTCAAAGATGGGTTAATGTTTTGAATTAATGCATGTATATTTCCAATATTTCCATATTTTCTCAATTTTTCTTCCATTTATCAGGTATATTTGGGTTTATGTTATGTAGTTTTGCTGCATCTAAATACCATCTATGTATGAGTTTAAAATGGTTTTCAAAATGATTTGTGTATTGTGTTGTACCTTTTAAATTTAGGGGAAAACTGAGCCAATCATCTTAATAATATTGAGTGCCTAATTCTGACTCCCATGATAACATGTAATTTAATTTTAGTGTTGGGAAGAGTAGAAATTTGGGAGTAACAGAATGAAATAGTTGCTTTACTGTTTGGATCAAGGAGATACATTTTCTCTAATTTAGAGATTTCTAATGATTTATATCCTATATCCAAATGACTTATGTTAAAGGTTTCTTTTAACAAATGACATAATGGAATTTCCTTTAAAATATTAAAAATTATATCATGTACAATAAAAAACAATATATGAAAAATACTAAAATATTTTTCATAATATTAAATCATTTTAAAAGTTTATTCAATAATGTGGAATAATTTGAAAGGCTTATTAAAAATAATAATAAATATAGGATACAATAGATTGCCCTGTGTGTTACAAGATTGCAGAGGCCCTCGACTCTACAAAGCCAGGTGTATAGTTGCAGACTATGAATTAGTTGTTTTGCAAGCCCTGCCTAATCCAGGCACTGCCATGTGTTACCAAGGCAGTGCTCGAAACTTCAAGGGCCAGAGCTGATGAGACAACTACCTCATGGTCTGCAACCATGCACCCACTAGAGCTGCAGACAGGAGAGGAGGGCAAGTGGCCCAAAATGGAATTGATTATTGCATCCTTTATTGCCCTGGAGGGGGGGAATGCATTAAAAAGGCATACAGTATGGGGAGGCTGGACAATGAAACAAACCTTGCCCAGCACTGTCATCCACCCACACACAAAGCCTCTATAAATATTTGGCCCCACGCTTACTCCCTTCATCCTGTTACACTTTAGCCCCTCTAATCCTGTCACACAGAACCCCCAACAATGCCACACTCTTCACCCCTCATATTGCCACACTCTCCTTGTCATATTAACACCCCAGCCATGTCACACTCAGCCCTACATCCCCAATTTTTTATTAATGGAATTATTATCTATTAATGGAAATCCATGTCTGCATTTTAAATGACCCAAAAGTATTTTATTTTGTTTTTTGTCAATATGTTGCCTTATTGCCAGATCTTTATATTCATATTATTTAATATTAATATTGGGAAAATGTACAACTATATTTACCTGTTTATTGCTGGTAACATATCTTGAGATTCCTGTGGAATTCCTCAGTTTTCTGTATTCTACCTCTATGCCACCTATACACACACTCTACCCCCATGCACACACTACACCCCTATACATACATGCTCACTGTACCCCATATACACAAACACTACGGCCTCTATACACACGCACACGTGCAGGCACACTACAGCCACATACTTCTAAAACCTTACTCCTTATACACACACAATGCAATCCCTACTTTTGTTTCTATGGGTGCCAGTAGGGGCCTCATGTTTGAGTTTTGCCTAAGGCCAAGCAAAGTATAGAGCTGCCACAGATCAGCAGGTCAATGTTAAGAGTTGGCATGGCAAGGTATCTGTCATAAATATAGGTATAATTACCAGCAATAATCCAATTCAACATTTTTAGAACTTTTTAGCTATGCAAATATTGAGATTGATATCCTCAAGGGCCCACACTCACAGCTGCATGCTTGTACTCGATGTTCATATTTGATTATAGTAATTATGTTTTCATTTTCTATTCAGAGTTTCAGTTCATGTTTTCCTGAAGTAAATTTTTCTGCACCAATAGATTTCTTTATAAAATAGGCAAACAAGGAGTATATAAAGTATAACACTGATATCTTATTCTTGGCTATTAGATGTTTATTTTGTAGTCCCCTTTTTTAAACAAGAGATTTTTTGTGTTACTAGATAACCCCTGTTTCTTAAAATATGGGGTAATTGAGCAGCCCACTGACCAACTGGGTTCACAACAGATACTCCTAAAATTAAGACCTATGGTATCTATGGTTATGGTGCCAGGAGTGCCATTTTAGAATAGTTTGGCTTCTTAGCTGGGGTCCACCAGCTGCGCTCCCTGCCTCCACTATCTCAGCAATAGAGCTGGAATCTACTGTTTAAAAAGGCTCAAGGCAAAAAAAAATTTCCTTAAGTAAGTGGGTTAATCTCGTAAGAGCATGCATTAAGCTGTTAGAGTAGGACCTGCCAAAGATGGGGTATATTAACATTGTGGCAGGCTTATGCAATGTATGATCATATACTGTAACTAAACCCCGATTATTGTTTCCTAGATTAGGTGTTTAAAAAAAAAAATTAAAAAAAATGTGAGCTTTGAAGTTGCTGTTTAGTGGGTGAGTGAGTGAGTGCACTGGATCTTCTGTATTGTATGAATTGGCCCCAGCAGCACCCCATTTATGCATGTTCAGGTGAGTGCAGCCACCTGGTTCCATCTGCATAAAAGCAGTCCTGGATACATTTTCATGCCAGCCCTATATTGTATTGCACACAGAAAAAACTAAATATGAAAATAGTTTCAGAAACATGAAAGATGCACTTACAGAACTTTAAAAAAATATTTTAATGGGACACTCCAGACCCCTAAAGTTCAACTTCAACTTGAATGGCAAGAGTGCTTCCTTATTCACTCCATTTAAATAATCATTAAAAAAAAAAGTGAGTGCATTAGATTTAGTGATTGGTGCATATGCTCGATTCCATCAGAACAGAAAGTGGAGACTTTTGTCATTGACAATCCCTCCGCAGCAGAGCAGCAGTTAGAGAGGACTTACTGCTAGAGAAAAAGGTAAGTAACATTTTTTTCATGTTTTAACATTGTAGTGTTCCTTTAAGTGTATGTACAACACAATACACTCAATGTTTCAACTCCATTGCCTTAATATCTTAAGAAAAGTTGGGTAATAGAACTCAACGTTTGACTGTATGCTGGTGCACTTTTGCAAAGTGACACTTACTAAAATTGAGTTAGAGAATTTTGAATCAGCTATTATTGCCCAAGTAATAAGATTTGTGTTTTTATTCACTAAATTTATTTCATTTATGTCTTCGTAAGAGGAAATACATTTCATAGTTTTAGAACCTGAAACTGGTAATTTTTCCATTTTCAGAATTTACCAAGCAAACCTCTATGACGCTTTATTACAGAGATAGAAGCAGATTGAATTTCATCAATTTGAAATGAAATGCATCTAGTAGATATTTTTATGCCTCATGTACTTCACCCCATTCCCTGTGTATGTCAAATATCTTACTCTTTAAATTTCTGCCATTAAATTAAGTGGTGCCAAATATTTTTGTTTTGTCTAACAAAGAGTAGAAAATTCACAATGTCCCCCTCCCCTCAGCAAAACAGTTTCTTATATATTACAAATTTGACAATTTACTAAATAAATTACTACAGAGCAGGTGTGGATGCTCCTCTGAACGGCCATGCCAGTTACCCTTAAATATAATACCAAAACACTCTGGGCAGCTGATTTATCTTCACCTGTTCTCTCACCCCTCCCTTGGTGTCAAAAAATATCATAGCATTTCCCAATATTAGTGAGGCCAAGTTCCATAGCAGAAACCACCCCATAGTGCCACTCCAGCCTTTCAAGAACCTACAGGAAAAGGCCAGGAAACCGCAACAAAATGCATAGAGATACACTAACTACAGAGTCAAGGCCTCTGCCAGGCACTCATAAACATCAAACTACCGGCATCAATAAGTACCGGGGAGCTTGTGTGTGTTACTGTGTTTGTGTGTCAGTGAACCTGTCTGTCTTCAAGCTTATCTATGTCAATGAGCTTGCCTTTGTCAGTGAAATTGTCTGACGGTGAGCTTGTGTGTGTGTATCAGTGAGTGGGGGGTGTTCAGTGAGTGTTTGTGAATGGATTGACACAGGGAGCACTTTAAGCGGTACCTTGTGATGGCATTGCACTGAATGAATGAGTCAGAGCACTGTCGCATGGTTACCGTGGCTCTGAATCCATTCGTAAGCACCCCAACCTGGAAAATTATTTAATGTGGTCTGCACCCACTGAAGGTATAGGCCACACAGTTCCCCACTGGATCATTCAGGTTTTATGGTCAGCTGTAGACAACCAGTGATCATACTCATTGCTAGACAACAGGGGTAAAAAACTGTTTTAATGTTAATATTGCACATGTAACACTTAAGTTCAGACAGCTCCACATACACAATTACAATTGGCCAACTCCACACTCAGTTACACTTAGAAAATATCACACATACTCTCTCAAGCAGCCAGCCCTCACACACCATCACACTTCTCACACACTATCACATTCACTCAGTCCCACACACAATCACAGGCAGACAGCTTTGCATGTACATGTCAGACTCAGCCAATCAACACCATAATCACAATCACACTCAGCTAACCATACACATCCCACCTGGGTGCATTGCTTAGGGGAGAGATGAGGGGGCAGGTCCAGACTGTTAGATGTTTTGGATATGCCAATGGCATATCTCCAAACTTTAAGAAGTGACATATAGAGTAATGTTGGGCATGATAGGTGTGCTTTAAAACAGTGATTGGCAACATATTCGCAAAACATGCCAAGATGTGTAAAACCGATGAGACCATGCACACTTATGAGTGAACAGTAACTTTATGTAATTCAAAATAAATTGATATTCACCAATACGAGTTGGTATATGCATTGATTTTTAAGCACTTGTATTGCTTTGCTTTCAATGTTGGGTAATTTCATTTTGTAGTGGATTGAATGTAGAGAATACTGCAGAATTTAAGATAAGTGGTGACAGGAACAAATCCTTTTGAAATGCTATTCTTCCTTGCCTTGAAACCTTTGCTGACACACATGCTGCCTGGATTTCAGAAGTTGCCAGTCAGAATTTTAAAACCAAAGTCATAACTCACCTGATGTCTGTCTAAAGCAATTGCAGTGAGAGTCAGCACTGAAACATGAACAGAACAATATTGGACAAAGCGGCTCACATGGCACATCATTTTTCCAAAAACCCATGTACTGCTCACAAATCGAACCTGGAAATACAAGAAAGGAATAATAATTACAAGCATAATAATTGTATAACCTTGAATCTCAAATGTTTTATTAAAATAAGAAGTGTCAGCTTCCAAAGGTGATGTTTTGTCCTGATTTCATGTTTCAGAATTCTATCATGTAATATTGCTCATACTGACTGACTAATGTTTAATTTCAGGCAAAGCAAGGGTTTCATGTGACTATCATAAGATCAAAATCATCTGTCATTATTATAATAACTATATCAAAGAATTTCACATGTTTAATTCATTATAAATCCCATAGTTAGGTCTTATAAAATGAAAGGAAGGAAGGAAAAACGTATATACGGTAGGAAATTTATCAAGATAATTTTGTGTGCAAAGTACTAAATGTTTAGAGTGTGTAAAAAACAAACAAAAAAAAAACTGTACATTGAGGTATGTATGCCGGGCCGAATGCATCAAATTTATATACACACACATGCACACAATCAAGAAAGAGCAGGCAAAAAGAACAACTTCACATAATGTCATAAATGTAGTTTATTTCCTACAACAATAAAAATTTGTGTGTAGTATTGGCATTTGAATGCAGTTGTGTATTTGTCTGTACTATTGTCATTGAGATGCAGGGGTGTGTTTGTCTGTAGATTTGAAAGCATGGAAGTGTTTGTGGAAATAGTGTTTGGATGCAAGGCTGTGTTTCTGTGTATGAATGCAGGGGTGTATTTTCTGCAGTGTTGGTGTTTCGATGCAGGGGTGTGCTTGTGTGCAATGTTGGTGTTTGAATGCTGTGATATATGCACTGATATACACACTGAAAAAGATATGCACATACACTCAGTTACATACATACACAGGTACACACACGAAAGACATGCATAGACACACAGCTACACTTGCGCATATATTCACACATATAAGTACAAATACCATTTTTAAGTATTTTATAGCTTCCCTCCAACCTCCTATGTGTGCGTGTGCCTGCTCCTCAATTCACCCAGCAACCCCCAGGAAAAAAAAACACTGTGACAGAGACCTGGTCTGGTATAATTAAAGGGGCATGGATTCTAAAAACTAAGAGCCTCTACAATGATCCAATGTGTCTATAACACTGCCCCCATTTGACCCCACTAAATTACACATGTACGCATAATTACATAATTTATACCCTTCATCCTACTTACCGGCCAGCATCAGGGAGCAGTTCTCTTTACAAAGCTTGCAAACTTAAGTCTGCAGGAGAGCCTTGTTGGAGTGGAAGTACTGACTGCCTTACAATCATTTGACACTCCACTGTAGAGCCCTACAAAAACAGAACTTCTGCTACCGCCCATGGCAAATTGTTTTTATTTCAACAAAAACTAGATGATGATGCCCGACTTGCCCCTATAGTCTTGCCTCTACTGTGTTTGAAGCTGCTAGTTTACACTTCTAAATTAAAACATTTTGTTGCACATTTGTGGTTAAGAAATAAATAATTTATGAACCAATTATTCGAACCAGACAAAGCTTTCTTTAAAAAACAAAACAAAAAGTATGAATGTTTCATGTGGGTACAAAAGGGTTAAAGAGAATTACTGAATTACCATACTATGCATACCAAGGAAAGAAAATGTAATAGAAAGCACTTATTTTCATTGATGGCAAAATATGTGTGCAATGGTTTTACCTCAGTTTTACAATTCCAATACCCATATCAGTTTGATAAGAGGTTATGCTCTCTTTGTTGCGTTGTGATTGCAAGTTATGATTGCTCAAGAACTTGAAATTATACTGGGAAATTAAGCCAATGCATATCTTAACATGCCACCAAGTTCATGCTGAATTTAGCATAATTACATACTGTTCTCAACTTCTCTACTGTAGCATTAGGAGTACATATCTGTTTTCCTAACACAACATTCCTGGTATCCCTTATCATTTTGCCCTCCTCCCATCTACACAAACACAAAAAAATAAATAAAATAAACTAGTTTCTCACCTTTTCTCTAGCACAGAGTCTCCTTTGGTGCTGCCGGGATCTCCCCCTTGGGCTGTGTCACCCTAGTGATTTGCTTCCAGGATGGCAGGCCAATCAAATTCTCCTTATAGAGGAGCATTGAGGGACATAGGTGCATGCTCAATAGACAAAAATTGTATTCAATGATTCCCTATGGGCCAGTGTGATGGCGCTGCGTATGCTCATGTGACGCCCCAGTATGTTAAGGTAAGAGAGTCTGGAAATAAGATTCCCAGATCTAATACCCAGAGGGCTTGGAGACATGGCTTGATGCTGCAATTTCAGGCCTTCTAGTTTGTTTCAATTTGGCTTTTGTGGGGTAGGATGCGTGGAGAAGGGGGATTGGCAGGACTGTACAATAATCACTTCAATAAGATCCATAAAGTGTCCTTTTGAAATGTAGCACCATATTAAAGTACCAATGACAGTTCATGGCATCTGTATCAGCACCTAAAGTTATGCAAGACCCAAATGGTTATTAACATCTACACTTGTTAATACTGTGCACGTATGCAGAGATATTATGTAAACTAATCTAAAATACTACTCTATTTCATCCTACTAAAAATTCAGCAATGGGAAGCCATCTGATACAGATGCATACCTGGGGTATTTGACATCCATGCTAAAATTGTTTGTTTGCAACTCTTGCCACAGAATATAAACATTGTATTCGAGTCAGCAACCCACCCACCTGGAATTTTGAACTGGAAATTTAAAATATACTACTCCACCTTTTGTGCTTCTCTACAAATCCTATCTCCCCTTGTGCCTCACTCTTGACCCCCATTTCCTCTTGTAAGTCTTTCCTTAGCCCTCAACCACTTGGTTGTTGTGGTATCCTTACCCTTTCATCCCCTTGTGTATATATCTTCTGATCACCTTAACCCCATGTGAGTTCTCCTTACACCTCTCAGCTATTTGTGTGTCTCTTTTGACCAACTAAAATGTACAGTTGGGAGGGATGCAATGCACACCGTCTCCCAGGATGTCAGAGATACCAGATCATCCCTTGCAATAGTAAACTTGTGCTTTGATGTCACGTAATTTTACAAAAGAGATCTATCAACATGGTTATTTGGGTGTGTATGTGAGATTTGCTACAAAATAATTGCTGTTGTGGTTATCTTGCAGTTTAAAGTATTCACATAAGAATATTTGCCTAGGGACATTTATAAGATTGTGTTATGTGAGAAATTATACGATCAGTGAACTATTGCTTAATATTTGTCAAGATAAAGGTAACAATCTTTGCAAAATACTAGTATATACTGTATCTCTACTATATAGTTAGCAAGCTGACAAAATGTATAACATGTTCAATGTTGAGACCAATGTAGTTGTAAAATGAGTCATTTGTTTGATATATTTGTTATCTTAATGGACACTTTCACTGCTGAGATTTTTCTGAGTTGCTTCACATTCAACTGCTGAGTGAGACGATACAGATTTAAGCATATCTGTGTGTTCTAAGTTAAATACAAATGTCAGTGTTTTTTCTTTGAGCTGCTCCTGCAATTCATTTATATTATTTTTTAACCGACATTTCTCTGTTAAAGTATATAATTTATTCCTGGTTAAATCACTACGCACAAAAATACAAATGTTAGAATAGGATTAATTAACCTCTCTAACACACTACCATATATGGTTAAACCATTGTATTCCCTATTAGCAGTTCAAAAATAGGTATTTTTTTTATAATTTTGTTAAAGTCTTTGGTATTGTCCATAAAATTTTAATATTTAAAAAATTTACTATCTGGGTGGGTATTCTCTGTTATACATCATGGTGTTTTCCCTCTTTTTTTCTTCCCCCACTTTTTTTTTTAATTTTTTGTGCATAGGTTTACTCTAGGCACAGGATCTCAGTGCTTCTCTGTACTGGATGTGTTCTGGTAGAATGCCGGTTGTGCCTTGTATGTTTCCTCTATAACTTTTGGCGACATTATTTTACTGTTTTGTGTTTTGGAACTGTATGCATATTTCATGCATAACTATAGATAAAGGGTTTAAAAATTATATATAACATTATTTACTGCTATACATTTAAAAAAAATGACGATGGACATGGGAATTTTAAAGGGACACTAAAGTCACCAGAACAACTACAGCTGGTGAATATAATAGCTTCCGTCAGGCATTTTCATGCAAACACTGTCTTTTCAGAGAAAAGGCAGTGTTTACATTGCCCCTAGGGACACCTCCAAGTGACCACTTCTTAGATGGCCCCTGGAGGGGCTTCCTGGCTCATGCTGTTCAGCGTCCCCACGCTCTGCATGGGGACGCAGAATTTTCCTCATAGAGATGCATTGAGTCAATACATCTCTATGAGGAGGTGCTGATTGGCCAAAATGGTGTTGGCCCCGCTCCTTGCCGACTTTAGCCAGTCCAATGCTTTCCCCTTGGGAAAGCATTGGATTGGCTAAAAATCAGCAATTTTGATGTCACCAAGGGGGCGGGGCTAGTGCCGGCAGACCCATGAAGAGCTTAAAATAAGGTGAGTTTTAAACCATTCTGAGCGGGCTAAGTTGGATCAAGCCATCTAAATGGTGGGTTTTCACTATAGGGTCAGGAATACATGTTTGTGTTCCTGACCCTATAGTGATCCTTTAAAAAAAATAAAAAAAATAAGTGTGTGTGTGTGTGTGTGTGTATATATATATATATATATCTAAGGTGGATGAAAACAGTAGTTACATTAAAAAAGATATATAATCTTTACAACTATAATATTGTCTTATGAAAATGTTTTATCATTGAAAGTAAACTGCTTTTTTACATCCTCATTACTTCTAATTACCAAATGTCTCAGTTGAAATGCCTCATTTGTGTAGTCACTCAAAGGCTACAAAAATGTAGCCACATAACAAGCTCACATTTCTTTTTACACTCTGACAAATATAAAACAGATAATAAAATAAACTACACTTGCAAATATACTTAGTTTGGCTATATTAAATTGGAAATTCTCTTTGTAGTCACTTTGAACTCTTATTTTAGTCAATAACCATGTTAGTTCTGGCTAGTAATGCACAACTAACAATTCTGATCCCTGGTAACATAGCCTGCTACATATTTCTAGAGTTTGTGGTGCACACTTAACTAATTAGTTCACACTTTTATTGGACATTGATTATTTTTTGTTTCACTTAACAAGACTTACATACTTTATGGGGCAGATGCCTTAGTCAGATTACATTCCACACTACTAACAGAAAATTATCCATGGTGTTGAGACGGTGTGATAGCCCAGGAATGAGAATTACCCCCATAATGGCATACCATTTGAAAAAGTAGACAACCCAAGGTATTGAAAGTGGGGTATGTTTAGTCTTTTTTAGTAGCCACTTAGTCACAAACACTGGCCAAAGTTAGCGTCCATATTTGTTTTTGTGTGAAAAAAGCAAAAAAACTAATATTTGGCCTGTGTTTGTGACTAAGTGGCTACTAAGAAAGACTGGACATACCCCACTTGCAATACCTTGGGTTGTCTACTTTTGCAAATAGTATGCCATCATGGGGGTAATTCTCATTCCTGGGCTACCACACGCTCTCAAAGGCAACATAACCAATCTGGCAAATTTCAATGTCAAAAAACTAAATGCAAGCCTTATATGTGACTCTCTAACTTTCCAAAACACCATAAAACCTGTACATCGGGGGTACTGTTATTCTCGGGAGACTTCACTAAACACAAATATTAGTGTTTTAGAACAGTAAAACATATTGCAACAATAATATAGTCCATAAAATGCCGTTCGTTTGTAAAAAATGCAAAAATGTCACTTTTACTTAAAATATCATCGTTGTAATACAATTTACCAGTTTGAAACATTAATATTTGAGTTCAGCAAAGTCTCCCGAGTAAAACAGTGCCCCCTATGTACAGGTTTTATGGTGTCTTGGAGAGTTACAGGGTCAAATATAGTGCTTGCGAATTAAATTCTCTGCACTTTCTCCCTGTGTTGTCAGGCATGTCAATTAAATTGTAATTAATCAAATCACATAATTGTGTTAATAGATTACTTAAATATACACGTAGAATTTTAATATATATGCATTTATAGGTATTTAAATTCTATGTGTATACTAATGTAATCTTTTATGTAATTATATGTATTTATCTATATATAAGAAAATCCAAAAGTATGGCTGCACTCACGGTTTAAAAGTCCAAAGTTTAATGAAAAAACGGTTTAAAACATCAAGTGATCAACGTTTCAGTCACATAAGACTTTCATCAGGATCAAACGTTGATCACTTGATGTTTTAAACCGTTTTTTCATTAAACTTTGGACTTTTAAACCGTGAGTGCAGCCATACTTTTGGATTTTCTTGGATATTGAAGCTGTCTTTGGTTGGCACCCGGCCATTAAAGGACATTGGAGCGTGAGTGCAGGAGCTACTTGTATTTTTATATATATATATATATATATATATATATATATATATCAAAAAGGAAAGGGATGCACTCTCAGGTCTTTGTAGAAAAAAACTCGATATTATTTAATAACAGGTAACATATCTGATCAACGTTTCGACCTCTTCAGGTCTTCCTCAAGATCAATATACAAACATATACAACACAAATATATAAGCAACATAGGAGGAGTTACTCACCAAACAAACAGTGCACACCGGTTTCCATTAGTCCGAACCCGGAAGAAACGGGTAAACTAAACCCGAGCAAATATGTAGTGAACATGAAACAGCTCGGATTAGGCAGAGAATTATCTGTGCAATCGAGTGAAAGGGCATAAAGCCCTGTGAAATATACAGAACTATAATAACTACCAAATAGCATGATATAAGTTTGATATTAGTTTACCCGTTTCTTAGCAACTGCATCATGGTAATGGCCACGCCCATACGTCACATGACACGCGCCACATGACGCTTCACTTACACTTCCGGGTTCGGACTAATGGAAACCAGTGTGCACTGTTTGTTTGGTGAGTAACTCCTCCTATGTTGCTTATATATTTGTGTTGTATATGTTTGTATATTGATCTTGAGGAAGACCTGAAGAGGTCGAAACGTCGATCAGATGTATGTTACCTGTTATTAAATAATATCAAGTTTTTTTCTACAAAGACCTGAGAGTGCATCTCTTTCCTTTTTGCTTTACATATCCAGCGTGGGATTGCACCAAGGCAGTCTTTTACTGATTCATTGAAAGGGTGAGTGCCACTATACTTGTGTATATATATATATATATGTGTATGTATATATGTATGTATATACATATTTTAAATATAAAAATAAAACACCCAAAGTCTTTATATATATGCAAAGATATATATATATATATATATATATATATATATATATATATATATATATATATATATAAAATATACATATATTATATATATAAATATATTTAATTTATTTTACACATGTTTATTTTATTTTTATTTTTCATTTCCCACCAGCAGGGGGACTGTCTGATATTTCAGACAGTACCTCTGCTGGCAGATCCATAGCCAGCTATACAGGGCCATGTGGTCACTCTTTGAGAGCGATCACATGGCCCCCGGGGGCCTCATTCGCCTGGGGAGGGCTGCCTGGGCGGTCAGGCAGCCCTCCCGAAGAGGATCGCGGCGGAGGTAAGTAAATTGGAGCTCCCCAGGGCTTAAGCCATTACGGCGTTCTATGCTGCCACAACGGCTTTAAAGCTCTTTAAAGCCGCGACAGCATAGAACACCGTAACGGCGTTAAGGGGTTAATGGTCATTGGAGTGATACTAAAAAACATTCAGTTATTTAAATCTGCATAGGGATTTGGGGTAGTGCGCAAGTCACTTTTTTTTTATCACCTCGTTTTACAAATTTATAAAATAAATTGGTATAAATCCTAACCTATAAGTATTAATTTGATAAATAGAGCAGAGCTCCAATTATTTAAATTATACATTTCGACTAGACAGAATCATACATCATCTGTGCAGACATTTTCCTATCTACACGGCATAATAAAACTGTGCTCCTCAATGTATCACATGCATGAAGCTTAATGAAGTTGCATTTATAAATATAAAGGAAATCTAAAATACCATGGTTATTTATGGTATCAAATTGTGGCTTTTCCCTGTGCTCCATTTATTTTCTGTGCCATTCCATTGACCTTATGTATGCAAATTCTACAGGATATAAAACTAAGCCTTAAATTCCTCAGTGCATGCATGCAAAAAAAAAACAGCAGCATGAAAAACTGGAGGCTTGATGTTTACTGATATATGATATAATATCACACTTCAGGTCATACTTTGGTCATGAAGATTGGGTAAAAGATCAGAGATAGTGGGTTTTAAAAAACATTCTGTGGGCAAGTGCAGGGCTAAGATAAATATCTAATGTTAGAAAATGGAAACAATTATTGAAAAAGATACCAGATGGATCTCAAAACTCCATATAACTCAGTGCTTTAAGGTTTTATTCTGTCCTTGATGTACATGTAAAGAGAGAAAAAAATGTATGTGTTTAATTAGAGGTCTTGTAGATTATTAGCCAATGTGGTAAGTATAAATGATCTGTATTATCATTCCCAGCATAGAGCAAAAGAGACAAGAGCTTCCCCTTTAGAAAGTGTCCTAGAGTGACAGTACATACACAGTTTACTACTTTACCTACCACTGGTAAATATTCCATGTATACCTTTGCTTTTCAGCAACAGATTTAATAAATATTTACAAGTTCGCAATTATGTTTACACAGAAATTTCTGTCTATTTACAACAGTTATATCCACGATGGGTAGATGTATTCAAATTTAATGGTGTAAAACACATGGCTCATTCTTCTCTAGATACATGATCATGTTTGGAAATACTGGGAAAAAGCAAAACAGTTGTGTTGACAATTAACCAAATTATACAAGATAAACTGAAATTAACAAAGAAGACCCTTAATGGACTGCGAGAAGAGATAGATGGTGCCCAGTTCGGTGACAACTTTATTAAAACTTTTGTGGGAGCCTTCATTGAACTTGACAAAGTGCATTCTTTGATGAAAAAGGTCGACCCTATCAAGGTATCTATTGGCGGAACCAATGATCTTCACATGGATAGTTTAGTGAACTGTAATTTACAAACACACTTTTTTTCCCTAGAGAGGATGAGATAGATAAGGATGTGGATTCAGGGAATAGTTGAATTCAAGACAACCCTGTGGTATCAGTCTGAATCCATTTTAACATCCACCCACTTTTTTTTTCCAAAAATGATGTCTACTAACATCAAAAGCTTGCATAATTCAAACAATTGTGGGTTTCCAAAAATACTTTTTAGAATATCCAGTCCAAAACAAAATTGACAATCTTATTTTTAAAGAAAGATATCCTTTTAAAAGACAAAGAAGTTTTAGAATGACACCGAAATGATGCAATAGTTCAGACAGATGCCAATTCAACTGTGAGAGAAAAAGAGGACAAATGAAACCTGAACCAATTTGTATTGTCCAATTAAATAAAAATGGAAGGCATACATTGCCTGAAAGAACTGTTGCAGCCATCCAATTAAATAATAAAAATACACATAAAAAATGCTTATTTTAAATTTCCAATAGCACCAGAATACCAACACTTCCTCCATTTCAAATGAAGAGAAATAAGGCGGCAATTCGTTTTCCTTCCTTTCTGACTTTCATGAGCCTCATGGTGCAAACTGTAGCAGCCCTGCTGAGAAGCAGAGGTGTTTGCATAGTAATATGTTTAGAAAATCTTCTATTAAAGGACCACTCTAGGCACCCAGACCACTTCAGCTTAATGAAGTGGTCTGGATGCTTGGTCTAGCTAGGCTTAACCCATTCTTTTATAAACATAGCAGTTTCAGAGAAACTGCTATGTTTATGAATGGGTTAAGCCTCGCAAGCCTTGCAAGTTAAACGAGTATGTTTTCCTGGCACTATAGTGGTCCTTTAATGTCTCAAAATATTGCCACTCAAAAAGAACATATATATTCGACTCTGCAAAATCTAAACTCTGCAAAATCATGGCTTTCTAATAAATTGGGAAAAACCTGCACTTCTTCCTTACCAGGTCAATATAAATTTTAGGTTTCTTGGTGAATTCGGAAAATACTGTGTTGAGCCTACCTCAAGAAGGAAATCAATCAGGAAAGAAATGCATTGCACAAATTCCACATGTTATTGAGATACATGTCCAGACTAATAGGATTGCAGTGAGCATCAATCTGAGTGGTTTTACCAGGGCCTCTACATACAGAGGTATCCAGAGATTAAAAACTATTTACCTATGATGGGGATTGGCTTACTCAGACACTCTTATTCTGAATTCAGACACATGGGAAGAAATCATATGATTCCCTGGAAATATGGAACAGAAGGATGATTTTCAAATCCGATCTAAATCTGATCACAGAAGTAGCCAGGAACCTAGGATAGGGAGCATGTTAAGCAGGTATTGCCACAGGTGGAATGAATGTCAGAATCTGAGAAAGCACTTTGTATAAATTGTTGAGAACTTTTAGCAGGCCTTTATCTGAAAAGTTTACTAAAATGCAAATCCAATCAATCCATATGCCTAAAGATGGACTATATATTTCTGCAGTCCAGTAATTTCTCCCAAGTATGGATGCTGATAACGCTCTTTTGGACCATACAAGTATGGTTCCCACATCTACTGGCATGGCAATAGTTATTCCAAGAACAATATAATTTTTTCCACATCTTTTGACAAATCCAGAAGGACTATTTGCATACAAACCGCCAATAGGAAAGCATTTCTCAATGCTTTCCTACGGACGTCCAGCGTCATCTCAGTTTAATTTTCACACTGAGAATCGCAGAAGCACCTGTAGTGGCTGTCAGTGAGACAGCCACTAGAGGCTGGATTAACCCTCAATGTAAACCTAGCAGTTTCTCTGAAACTGCTATGTTTTCAGCTGCATAGTTAACCCTAGATGGACCTGGCACCCAGACCACTTCATTGAGCTGAAGTGGTCTGGGTGCCTATAGTGGTCCTTTAAAGGAAATCATAAAAATCTAGACCCATGAAGCCTAGAAATGATTCCACTTAGGACACTGATACTGTGTTAAACTTTATCAACAAATGGCCAAAAATATTCTGATCTTTCTCTTAAAAAAGAGGCAGCTGCCTAGCAAGCACTGGCCAGCCTCCACATAATTAACCCAGGCACCGCTGAGGGTTTTTCACTATGTGTTCGCTGGCTGCTAGTGCTGCCAGTAGGCAAACAGTTTGGAATTTTTCTTTTTATTTTCAAATCCAAGCCTAGAGTTAAAGCATTCAGTGATGGTCACTCTATCTATCTATCTATCTATACATATAATATAAATAAAAATAAGAATAAAAAAATTATATATATACATATATATATATATATATATATATATATATGTATTAAGGCAATTTGCCTGGATTTGTGGGAGGTGCTGGTTTGCTACCCCTAGCCTACTTAAGGCACTCCCCTTACCTGGCTCCTTACCGTTCGAGGTCAGCGTTGAATGAGGATCCACTTCCGGGTTCTCTCAGACGCCATCTTGGGTTCAGTATCCACAAGGTTTTTCACCACGTTAGCTGTGTCCAGGAATCCTGTTCAGGCCTTTCCGCCCGTCCAGCTTCTTCTGACTCCGGTCTTCGTCGTAGATCGCGTCCCAGGGACTCCTAAACCGTAAGTCAGACCTACCTGTCACGCCAGGACCGTTTCCCACGGCGTACAGTACAGCACGGGTCCTCGCTTTACGGTTTTTCCCTGGTTATGTCACGAATGTTTCAAGCCGTTCGCGGGGTTTTTCATTCATACAGTCATTCGGCTGAACAGTTTACTCGTACAATAGTCATTTCGCATAAACTATTCCATGTTACATTGAAACAGATTATCATTCGGTTGTTTTACCGTTCGGCAATTTTCATATACACTCAAACACGCTTTCGGTTTCGCATAAATTCATACGGTTAAACTATTCGTTCTAACTTCTGTGTTTCCCTCACATTTGTTTTTGGCTTTATTTCTATGTATTACGCATAATCCTTTCGTGAATTATATTCACCATTTCGTGTGTATATAACATTCGGTTAAGAATTGCTTGTTTAAATAGATTATTTCTATTACTTTTTAAATGTTTTCAGTATTGTATTATGTCCATACAAACAAAGCCCACTTATCTGTATAGACCATTTTTGACTCCCACGCTTTCAGGGGTCTGCATTACTTATCCATCCATCCAAATGGACTCAGCCTATGTTACAGGCCTCATTTCTGTGTTATTACTACGACACATACAAAGGATACAGGTTCTTTTCAAGCAATAATTCTTGGGTTGAATCACGTACTGATCCAACCAATCATACAATACAAATATATCATATATCACTTTACATCACTTTAAGCATTTTTGGGTTCCCTGCCTTTGGTTATTCTACTACATATCATACATAACGCTGTGTAAAATAGGCCATGACCTCATCCATGTTCCTTTCTATCAAACCAGCTACATTTCTGTACGGATCATTGAACTCCCACGCCTGGAGTTTTTATAATTATCCATTTCATTTCAATTAACTCAGCCTACGTTACAGGCCTCATTTCTGTCATGACTATGACACATAAGGCTTAATTCCTTTTCATGCATACTCGGGTTGAATCACACGTACTGATCCAACCAATCATACGTTTCCTGCACAGTAATATACATATATATATATAACCTACATTTCATGTTTCCCTTACACACCATTATCACATAACACATATGTTGTTTGTACATAGGCCACGGCCTCTCTCAGATGTCTTATTTAAGCATGCAAACATTTCTGAGCCACTCATATCTATTCCCATGGTATCAACATTTTTTCAAAACCTTGCTGCTACAGGCTATAAGTCTGTTCTTTTCAACAATCCACACTCATCATACTACTCTTTTACCCATTTTAGGCTGTCAAGCTTATATATATTTGCTCCACACGGTTTATTCCTGTGAATTTGTCATACTACCAGGTACGTACACCTGCTCATATGGTATTCTACCATACATTTCATTTCGTCCCCCTAGGTTAGAGTACTGGTAATAGGGTCACAGGATTCCCAATAGGTATTTACCCCGTCTTGGCAGTCGCCATCAGTTAGTGGTCCCGCGATGCCAACAACCCGCCTCAAACATTCCAGAGGCAAACACCCATCGGGCCACACGTTAGCTAGCCGCCTCGCATGTTGCATAGAGAGGGCCTCACCTGTCACTCCCTTCCCCTGTTTTCTGTCTTACAGTCACCGAGAGGCCTAAAACTCCTGCCACTACGTCGAGTGGCCTCAATAACCCCTCGCGCCAACGCATAGATAGAGCCTCTCAAGCCGCTTGGCAATTAGCAGGGCCTCACCTGTCACCAAACAGGTATAATGTTTCGCCATCCGGCCTAGCTAGCCTGCCAGTACAATTTGGTGGTTTCATATACTAATTAATTGTTTTATTTATAGTATGTCTCAGGAAGGGGTAGAGGATTTCTCCCTGCCTAGCACCCCGGCTAGAGCTGTCACTCCCACACAAGGAGGAGAGCTAGCTAGTCCAGCATCAATCAGATCCTGGACGATCCCGCGTATAACCACGGAATTAAGGAGACAACAAATCCCCTACCCCGCTACAGCAAGGAAAGCAGAACTTTTCAAACTGCTACGCACATCGACAAATAACATGGATGCCGGGGAAGGATCTAGCCAGTCCAACCCAGGAGACATACATGCCATGCTATCCTCACTCATGGCGTCCATGAGCAAAGTCAACTCCAGGCTGGAGAAACTTGAGTCGGTCACCACGGCCCTCACTCTAGCAGGGCCGCACGTTGCTGCGGCACAAATACCAGCCTTGCCATTAGTCACTCCAGCCATCACCCTGGAAGTTAGCCCGGCCCACATGATACCTGAGCACATTAAAAGGGATATCCTGGAAGGTAAAGATGTCAACCTGGCTTCCCTGTTGATTGCCTCCCAGGATATTGTGGAACATAATACGTATGCTTATGATGATGTATCTGTTGTTGTCAGATCTAGGGATGCCCGCCTGAATAGGAAACTGACTATCCCTGAATTTGTACTAGCGTTTGGTATTTACAGGGATGTCATCTGTGCAGTCTTTCCCAACAGAATAGAAGAGTTTGATTTCTATATGCACAAGCTGGTAGACCTGGGCAACAAATATGGTGGTTCAGCCTTCTATGACTACCATAGGTCTTTTTCTGCAAAAGTGTCTGGAGCCTTCTCCCAGTACGCAACACGATCCAACCGGGGAAGGATTGATACCGTCATATTTTGCAGACACTTTGCAGGTCTAAGAACACCAGCTTGTGCATACTGCTCCTCCACAGCCCATACTACAAATTTTTGTCCCAACACGGCAGACGGACATGCCTCCACGCAAGGAGCTAGTTCCTGTGGGGATCCAGGGAAATTGTCAATAGACAAACTGGGATGCCCAATCAAGTTTCTGGGCAAGTCCCAGATATGTAATAATTTCAATGTTGGGTCTTGTAATTACAGTGGATGTAGACTTTTGCATGTCTGTTCAAAATGTTTTAGGGCACATGCAAAGACCATGTTTCCAAATAAAATGTATTCCAAGCCTTACCTAACGTCCATTAATATGCCAGTATTCACAACATTTATGTCTCAGCACCCATCTAGACACCTGGTAGACTTTCTTATTTCTGGTTTAACAGAAGGCTTCCACACAGGTATCCTACACATACCAGCCGGAACTCTGGAATGCCCTAATCTACAATCCGCCCAACACAACCCCACAGCGGTTGACACCCTCATAGCCCAAGAAGTGGATGAGGGCTTCGTATTGGGGCCTTTTAGAACTCCTCCATTCATAGAATGGCGCACCAAACCCATTGGTATTGTCACAGGGAAATCTTCCCAAAAACAGAGACTCATCACTTATCGGCACCCCACTCATCGGCCAACCCCAGTCTTAATTCCCTTATACCCTCTGAGGAATTCTCTCTGCAATACACTACCATAGATCACGCCATTACAGCTATCATACAAGCAGGGGTTGGAGCCTGACTCAGTAAGACCGACATTACTAACGCCTTTAAATTACTCCCAATCCACCCCACACTGTGGCACCTGCATGGCATCAAGTGGTCCAGGAACTACTATTTTTTCTCCCGGTTAACTTTTGGGTCCAAAAGTAGCCCAGCTATTTTCGACACATTTGCTTAAGCATTATGCTGGTTACTATTGAATATAGCCAGATGCCCTACGGTATTACATTACCTGGACGATTTCCTACTGGTCGAGGAGAATACTTCGCCTCCCACTAGTCTCAAAGCTACCACTAAGCTTTTTGAGCAACTAGGTGTACCCATCTCCTCAGAGAAAACAGAGGGTCCAGACATGGTTAGCACTTTTCTGGGTATCCAATTAGACTCTGCCACAATGCAAGCAAACCTACCATACGATAAGATAGAGAATATTCTCACTTACATAAACAACTACCTACAGCTCGGCACTTGCAACCGCAAAGAGCTACAGTCCCTGCTAGGGTCACTAAATTTTGCTATGCGCATCATACCTCAAGGCCGCTCCTTTATATCATGACTATTGCATCTTTTCCCACTTTTCCTACATGACACGTACAGGTTGTCCTTAGATGACCAAGCTACGGCAGATCTAAACATGTGGAAGAGATTTTTAACCACTTGGAATGGTAAAAGTATGTTCCTCCCTCAATTGACTGAATCATCTCCTACCATTTGGTCAGATGCGGCATCTACCACTGGTTTTGCAGCAATTTTTGGGAACGAATGGCTTTGGGGCAGCTGGCCTTCAGCTACCTCAGCTCTTTTTGAGATCTATCCCATAGTGGCGGCTGCCGTAGCATGGGGTCATTTATGGGCTAATATGCCAGTGCGTTGTTACTCAGACAACCAGGCAACCTGTCACATCATCAACAAAGGTCGTTCCAAATCTCTTACAATCATGAGATTTCTGAGGAAACTCACTTGGTTGGCAGCTTGTCATTTCTTCCTATGTTGTTTCCATGTTCCAGGTGTATGTAACACAGCTGCTGACAATTTGTCTCGATTTAAATTTCAGGAGTTTCATCAAGCACTCCTGTCAGCAGCACCCACAGCCACCATCACTCCAACATTTCAACAACTCATACTGGACTAGACATCATCATGCAGCATAGCAGGACTTTGTCCCAATTGGCACTTTCAAACAACACAAACAAAACATATACACTATTCAAACGATTCCTTCTGGAACATAACATCATACAACCGTTTGTTATGACATCTTTTTTGGGGTTTGCTTCCTTTTGCCACCTTAAACTCAAAATGTCATATAACACCATCAAACTCTATCTCACTGGCATTCAACACCACATGCTAATCTTACACCCACATAACAGTTTCATGGCCTCTCACCAAATTAAGACCATACTCAGAGGTATTCAGAAATCAGAACCCACACATACAGCCCAGAGGCTACCCATAGATAACCATATCTTCAAAGCATTAACCTGCTTGACTTAAAACCGTTTGACACCAATACAAATTCCATCATCAAAAAAAATATACATCGCTTTTTATGGATTTCTACGACCTAGAGAATTCACTACAACCTCCACGACCTAAACCACTCCGTTCCTCCTCTATTCCCACTTGACAAAACATATGGATCATTACATCCTGACTTTACCTCACTCCAAAACCAGTCAGCACATACCCGTAAACATTCTGTACTATCCCACGCACAACAGATGATGTCCCGTCAAGGTTCTTGATGCCTACATACAGCACCATCACTTACTGCCCTCGCAACCGTGCAGTACTCACCACTGCAACCTTCATGACCTACGTCAGGTCCTTGCTCACACAACTGGGCCTCAACGCAGACAAATACTCAGGACACTCCTTTCGTATAGGAGCCGCGTCCACAGCCTCCAGTGTGAACATCCCAACTCATGTTATCAAAACACTGGGGCGCTGGAAGTCATCCGCTTACTCACGGTACATACCGAACCCAGTACAAGAATTAAGGGATGCTTTCAAAAACATGTCTGGTTGATAAAATGTATATGTATTGGTTGTCTGTTAATAAATTTGATTACTTAATTTTTGCCCTCTTCTTTCTCAGGCCTACCTCATCGTCGGTTTCGGCACACCACAACCGACTTGCTCCTTTTATTATCCTACGTTTATTCATGGTATTTCACACTGTACTATCTTAAGCACCTAACACAAATATATATATATATATATATATATATATATATATATATATATATATATATATATATATATATGCATATATATACATATATATATATATATATATATATATGCATATATATTTAAATTCTACATATATATTTATATAATATTTTGACATAATTAAATAATTTGATTAATTAAAATTTGAAGGACCTGCCTGACAACGCAGGCAGACAGTCCAGAGAATTTGGTTCGCAAGCCCTATATTTAACCCTGTAACTTTCCAAGACACTATAAAACCTGTACATGTGGGTACTGTTTTATTCGGGAGACTTCGCTGTACACAAATATTGATGTTTCAAAACAGTAAAACATATAACAATGATCATAGTGTCAGGGAAAATTAAGTTTTTTTGGACCATATAATTGTTGTGATATGTTTTTCTCGCTTGAAAACACTACAATTTCTGTTCTGGGAAGTCTCCCGAGTATAACAGTACCCCCATGTACAGGTTTTATAGTGTTTTCAAAAGTTACAGAGTCAAATAATGGCATTGCCATTTTTTCACATTGAAATTTTCCAGATGTTGCCTTTGAGACCATATGGTAGCCCAGGAATGAGAATTACCCCCATGATGACATACCATTTGCAAAAGTAGACAACCCAAGGTATTGCAAATGGGTTATGTCCAGTCTTTTTTAGTAGCCACTTAGTCACAAATACTAGACAAAATTAGTGTTCAAATAAGTTTTTTTGCATTTTTCACAAACAAATAAGAACGCTAACTTTGGCCAGTGTTTGTGACTAAGTGGCTACTAAAAAAAGACTGGACATAACCCATTTGTAATACCTTGGGTTGTATACTTTTGCAAATGGTAAGCTATCATGGGGGTAATTTTCATTCTTGGGCTACCACACGGACTCATAGGCAACCTACCCAGTCTAGCAAATTTCAATGTGTATAAACCGAAGAATGTAATGTGTTTTATTTGGCCTTGTAACTTTCCAAAACACCATAAAACCTGGTACATGTGGGGTACTTTATTTTACTTGTGAGACATTGCTGAATACAAATATGTGTAACCTATTATAATCTATTGCAGTAACAGCTAACAGTATTTTGACATTAACAGTTAAATTGCCATGCAAAAAAATAAAAAAATTAATTTCTTATATTTTTTATATATAATTCATATTAAATATAATATACAAATATTTGAAGTGACAAGAAAGCTTATTTTCTCTTGAACAAAATTATATATAATAAGTGTGGGTGCACTTAATATGAAGGAGAAGAATTATGGTTGAACAGACATTTAGTGCAATTTCCAGGTTTTGTTTACGATTTTTTTTTACTACAACTTGTACAACTGCCTCAGTCCTCAAGGGGTTAATAGCAGTTGTAAAAGACTGTAGAAGAATCCTGCCTGGGCATCTATTTGTATTCCTTTTCTTTCCATCTATTGGTCACGTCTCATGAATTGTAAATAAAATCAGCATTTAGTGACTGTCCCCTAACCATCAATCATGATTTTTTTTTGCTACTTCTTGACAGCAAAGGAGATCCAGCTCACATGATTGGACAGACTTCTTGTCCATCATGGGGAAAATACACTGCTTACTTGCCCACACCAAAAAAAAACCCCCACAAAAAACAGCCTCTTCTCTATTCTATTTATGTTTTATCCGGTCTGATTTAAGAGCCAAACTGAACATGATGGGCTCATGTAAATTCATTCCCTGGCACATGACAACTTGGAAATCCAAATTTGAGTTGATCACATGATCGGCCTGAATTTGCCCAATCTGAAGTGAATCTCCAAGTCTAATACATAAATTTAAAATGTTCTTTGCTGCTATACTTGAGTAAAGAAAGAGTTGTGCATAATATTTGCCTCATTGTCTTTAATAATTGCATCACTTTCCATCATAAATTATTAAAATCATCGAATTGTTTAGATGCCTTAAATGCATATTCAAATTACAAGCTGCTCTTTTGCCCTTTATTTATGTGCTAGTCATATTTAATATGAAAATGTTATTTTTGTTTAGAAATGAAAACAGCTCACTGGTGAAAAGGTTAAAGGGTTATTGAAACCAGATCAGTGTTTTAAGAAAAAAAGCGGACCTGGAAGACATGGAGGATGGCTTATCTAGATGACAACGGAAGCAGCTGTAAGTGGAATTACACTTCAGTTAGGAAAGGTCTGTATCTCTGTATGGGTAACATTTCTTGGTGAGATGCTGCATGTACAGACACCAAGCACCATAACCACTTCAAATTGGTGAATTATTTCCATTAAAATTACATAGTTACATAACTTGAAAAGAGATATGTGTCCATCAAGTTCAGCCTTCCTCACATCTGTTTTTTGCTATTGATCCAGAAGAATGCAAACAAAAACCCAGTTTGAAGCACTTCCAATTTTACAAAAATTCCTTCTTGAACTCAGAATGGTGGTCAGATTTATTCTTTGTTTTAAGAATATATTTATTTATTACCCTACTGTTGTAAAATTACATCATTATATCATATCATTATATATCATTAAATATTCTGTTTTTGCAAGTATGCATCTAGTTGCTGTTTAAACATCTGTAAAGACTCTGATAAAACCACTTCTTCAGGCAGAGAATTCCACATCCTTATTGTTCTTCCTGTAAAAAAACACAAACCCTTTTCTTTGCCTTAGACTAAATCTTCTTTCTTCCAGTCTAAATGCGTTCTATGTATAGTCCTGTTTGTGAATAGATTTCCACACAATGGTTTGTAATGGCCACGGATATATTTGTATAATGTTATCATATCCCCTCTGAGGCAACATTTTTCTAAACTAAAGAGGTTTAAATTTGTTAACCTTTCTTCATAGCTAAAATATTCCATTAATTTTATTAATTTTGTAGCCCGCCTCTGCACGCTTTCCAGTGCCATAATCTCCTGCTTTAGAACAGGTGCCCAAACTTCAAGATGTGATCTTACCAATGATTTATAAAGAGGCAAAATTATATTCTCATCCCGAGAATTAATGCTCTTTTTTTATGCATGACAATACATTGCTGGCTTTAGCTAGTGCTGATTGACATTGCACATTGTTGCATAGTTTGTTGTCTATAACAATTCCCAAATCCTTCTCGTGTTTTGTTATCCCTAATTTGCTACCATTTAGGGTATAAGTTGATTGTGCATTCTTTACACTGAAGTGTATAACTTTGCATTTTTCTACTTTAAATTTCATTTGCCATTTGAAAAAAAAATAATAATTATGTGTAGGTATTTTGAAATCGGGTTTTTTTTTTTGTGTTTGCAAACTTTGTTCCCTGATTTTCTCATATGACTTTTACATTGTAACATAATATCACGTCTTGTGGAGAACGTATGCAAACCCAAGAAGAGTTTCTATTACTTCAGTGATTAGGGGAAAAACTTTGAAACAGCAAACCACCACATAAGAAATATTTAAAGCCATATAAATCATAATGCAGGCGTCCTGTAATATCTGATAAACATCAATTTAAAGTAACTACCCAAGAAGCAATGACTTGCTGTGTATGCCAAGATATGAAAGAATTTGCTTAACTTTTGACCTTAAAGGGTTAAAACAGGTTTTAAAAGGAATACTAGAGCATTAGGAATACAAACCTGTACTCCTAACTTTTTAGTGTCCCTTGTTAGATAGATCCCACCGTGTGTCACATAAAAATACTAAAATTAGGTTTTATACTTACCTTTCTACAGTGTTGTGGCTAACTCTGTGCTGCTTACCTCGTTTCCTCCAGTGATGTCTCCAATGCAATGCTCCTCAAGCATTGAGACCTAACATGCATGCATGACTGGAGCTGTGAGCACATTCAAGCTTTCCTATAGAGAAGTATTGAGCAGGGCCCCCACCAGGGCATGACAACCATGACGGCTGACATGGGCCTGACAGTCCTTTGGGGCCCAGACTGCTCTTATAGTCCCCGGCCCCACATCCCCTGTGTACACAGATATATAGCAATTTTGTACACACAAACACACACTCTGAATTCACTAAACACACACTACATCCACTATACACACACACACACACTCTGCATTCACCATGCATACTGCATCTAAAACACACTAACACTACATCCACTATGTACACACTCTCTGCATTCACTTTACACACTGCATCTAATACACACATCTACTACACAGACACACACTCTATCTTCACTATGCAGACACTTCATCCGCTACACAAACACACGCATCTAATACACACAAACACTGCATCCACTACACACACACCCACTGCATTCACTATTCACACATTATATCCCCTACACCAATACACTCTCTGTATTCACTGTACACACCATGCATTCACTATACACACCGCATCCACTATACAGACTGCATGTAATACACACAAACAACATCCATTACATAAATACACACTCTGCATTCACTATACACGCACTACATCCACTACACAAATGCACACTCTGCATTTACTCCACACATTCTACACACACTATAATCAGTACACACACTGCATTCCTGTGGGCAGAATCGGGGGCAGACTCCAGTGGCCCAGACCTTGAGCTGTGTCAGGGACCCCAAAATGTCTGATGGCAGCCCTGGCATTGAGTCAATGATTTCCTATGGGGGTTCCATGAAGGTGACCAAGTTTTACTCGGTCAGCACTGCAAAAGCACCTCCAGTGGCCATGAGTATGGTAGAAGCCACTGGAGGTGGGTTTAATCCTTACAAGGTAAACACTGCCCTTTCTACAAAACAGAAATGTTTTACCTTGAAGTACTAAATTGATGGGACCACTTCATCCAGGCCACTTCATTGAGATGAAGTGTCTTGATGATATTGTCTCCTATATATATATATGGAAAAAGAAAAACATTATTAATTAATTTGTAGATTTGTATAGCTTAAGGAGGATTACATAATATTAAAATTAAAGTTTGTACTTCAGACTGCAACATGTCATGTAAATAGTATTTATCTGATCTGTTTAACAGATGTTTCATGCTCAGATTGTTTTAATTATAATTACATAAATCAAAGCATTTTGCTAGAGAAGATGCATAAAGATTGTTCAAGTGTTTCTTGAAGTATTTGTTTGCAGAAAAAATAATGACCCTAATTTTATTATTCTCAAAAGATTGAAAGGTTGAGTCATCCCTTGTACGAATTCTGCCCGCAAACCTGAAACGTGAACAGCCATTTGAATAGGCCATACTATTGACACATTAAGCAACTAAAATATCTCACTGGTCAGTTAAATTATTAAAAAGTTTATTGTGAAAAGCAAGGAAAAAAATAAAAAAGATGCAAGTAGAGCTATTACTCCCAACCAAATCCTCAAGGGACACCAAATGGCCCTGTCTTGTCAGTATCCCTATAGTCTTGTCAGTATCCCTATTGAGCAATAATTGAGAAATGCCTGAATAGTGAAGTCTGGGTTGAGAACCTCTGCTATACAAAAGGCACAATAAGGTTTCTGCCACAATAACCTATAATTTTCAATGCTTATAGTTTTACAGATAATTGAGCTACATCCTATAAGAAGCATTTTTTCTACTCATCATACCCTGAGAGTTAAAAGGGCAAGCTGTACACCATAACTAATACAGCTCAGTGTAGAAGCTTTGATGCAAAGAGATTTTGGGTGCCAAATCCACATATGTTTGCCAGACGGGCTGTCACTGGTTCCCAGAGTCTCTTTAGCCACATTGAGTTTAGATTTATACATTATCAGTGTCAGTGCCATCGAACCTGGAAGGCAATGAAAGTGTACTAGCCTAGAACTCTCTGGCTGTTTTGGCTCTTCGTGTAAGATACAACTGATACTGATGATGTGCAAGTGTAAATTCAACATTATCAATTAGGGAGTTGTCTATGCATGAGATAATTAGTTTTGTCAAACTACTCTAAATCTTTGGCAAAAACCAGGGAACAGCACACACAGACTTTTTGTTCCAAAACAACTACACTGAGCTGGTGCATTAGACAACCTTTTAGGAGACCACTAACGTCACCCAGACTTTTTCATCTCAATTAAGTGGTACTGTAATTTTAACCATGCAATGTCAATTTTTTTGCAATTCAATTTTTTTAGGGTTAAAGGAACACTATAAAATTAGAAATACAAACCTAATGTCCCTAGTTAAAAAAAGCCACCCCATTTGCAATTAAAATAAAAAAATAAAAATTATTGACTTACCTTTTTCCAGCACCAAAGCTCCCTCAGAGCTACTCACTTCTCCACCTTCGACGACATCATGGCCTCTGTGATGTCCAAATCCAGTGCTCCTCATAAAGGAGTACTGGGGACCTAATGTGTATACACGGCAAGTCCAAGCATGCATTTAAGCTTCCTCATTGGAAATATTGTACTAAATACTTTCCTACGGACTTCTGTGTCATAAGACTGAGTTTTTCTCAGTAAAAGAAGAGGAAGCTTCTCTAGAAGCAGTGAGTATGACAGCCACTAGAGATGGACTTAAACTTGCATTTCTAAAATAACTGCAGTATTTTACATAGCACGGTTAAAAGCACAGGGCCACTGCATCTAGACCACTTCATCGAGATGAAGTGGTCTGGGTGACTATAGTCTTCCTTCAAATACAACTCTACTCGCAGGCTTCCTGACAGTTACTAGAGTTACTTCCTCCTCCAGATCTGAGTGAAACTCTGTATTGTAATGAAATGCTATTCTTTCAGATACATTGGATTTCAGGACATTGTTGAAGACGTCAAGAGGGATGCTGACATCTTCAAAGGCAGAGCAGGCGGCTGCACTGGAGGAGTCCTGGTCACTGGAAACAAGGTAAATAATATTTATCAAGCTTAATTTTTTTAGTAGCAAAGGGAAATGGACAAATGGAAACCTATAGTCTGTGAAAAATATTATTTTCAGGACTCTATGTTCCGTTAAATATATAGAATAGAATGGGGCAAACAAACTTGAAAATAAATAAAACAAAATAATAAAGATAGAGACTAAAATAGAACTCATACTACACAATCAGTGTTATTTCATATCCCTAAACCATGATTTACAATGGAACTGAACATTTCAGGCAAACATATTGACTGGAAAATTATGTATGTTAGCTGTAGCTCATGTGGTTTCAGGTTTACAATGCTATAGTCAACTATCAGCAATACACAGCTTAGCTACTATTCATTAGTGTTGAAGAGCAACAGAGTTGGAAATTTATTTTAGTTTGGTTATTTTTGCCAATCATTTTCAATTCCCTGATCAACCAATGTCAAATATAATATATTGAATAGCACACACGACTATTCACCGAGTCATTTTTCCAATGCTTACTGGACAGTTGAGCATTTTAGACCAAATTAGTAAATTTAAAAAAAAATCTCAGTAAACTATTTTGGTATAAAATTTACAATTTCCTGGTGAATTCGATATCAATATATCATTTACAGGGTTATTCACTAAGGTAAGAATTCAAGATGATTTCAAAGTGAATTTCAAATTTAAAGTCAAAATAGCTTAACATTAATTATTCTGTAAGTCAGCTATGCTCTCTATTCAGCTAATCTGTCCTTAAATTTTAAATTCACTTAGAATTATTATTATTTTGTATTATTTATATAGCGCCATCAGATTCCGTAGCGCTGTAAAATGGGTTCACACTTTGATAAATAATCCTGTTGGTGAATAACCCTGATTCTATTTTGCCATCAATGTCAGCACACATATGAGAATATACAATAAAAAATAAACATTTGAAAACATACACAGGCTTGTTAATACATTTACAATACGGTTATAGTTAACAAATACTTCTAAAACTCACCATAAAAGAGCAACATTGAAATATATATATTTTATGCCCATATATCTTCACTTCTACTTAGAGTGGCATCTGCTTTATTCTGGTTTATGAACTGCACAAGTTTGTTTAGTTTACTGGATTTTTTCTTAAATTAATCATAATATGAGTGTAAATATCAATGTACTAATAAAGGTGTATTCATATTCACTTAAATATGTCTTTATAATATCAAATGTGTCATGCTACATCTGTACATTTATAAAAATAAAAAGCTTCTGTAAAATATTTGAAGTATCAATACGAACTGTACACGATTTGTTCAAAGAAAAAAAACAAAGCCAAATCATGTAAAAGAATAAACAGGTGAAAATTCCAATTATAAAAACCAAATGCAGAAGTATTTGCTCTGCAAGACCCTTTTAGGCACATGCACTCCTACATACACACATCTCTCTGTTTTTTTCCACATACATCCATCTCTGTAATTGTTTCATGCTGTGTCCCACGCTGGCTCACCCACCAAGCTTAAACAATAACCTTGGTTCTGCAACATACTATTTTTGATAAAAGAAAAATGAAATACTAATGGAAAAACTATTTTTCTTAAATGTATATTTGAGACTCCTAGTTAGCAAAGCACAAAGAAAACATAATGTATATCAATATCTATTTCAACATGCTTATTGCAGTCTTCTTCACTCCCTACACAATACAACATAATGCAGGAATAGTTCAGTAAATAAAAAATGACCATTACACATCAAACCACCATAGTGATATCTTCTAAAACAACAAAAAAATGCCTGTTAGGAAACATGGTAAAATAATTGGTTTAGGTCAGCCCCCCCACTCCCTTATTTCTCTCACCAATGTGAAGGGGGTGTTGAGAAGGGTGATCATGATATCTGCCACAGCAAGGTTGACAATAAAAAAGTTGGTAGCTGACTGTATTCTCTTGTTCTTGATAACAACGTGACAGACCAGAATATTCCCAAACAGAGAGATCACAATTATGACCGAGTAGGCGACAATCAGCAGAGCTTTCACAGTGGAGCTCTGTGACTCTGCTTCATATTTTGTGTTCTCAAAATCCCCAATGTCGTCAATGTTCAAGTCCCCATTGAAAAGAGATGAGATGTTGGAGAAGCCATATAAGCCAGAGAAGATGCCACTTGAGTTAGCCACGCTAGTCCCCCTGAAGGTCTTCTTGGAAGCATAAGGTAAGGAGAACCACATGTGCCTCGTCATTTTAGTACTTAGAAACAGACATTTAAGAACATCAACAACATAATGCCAGCTGCCCAGTGATATATGTACCGAATATAAAATATGAGGAAAACACGACTATAAAGTCTTGGTGATGGTCGTTCTTCTCCAGGTCCCGCTGATGGTCATTCTTTGATAGACTAACCAAGTGTTCTCCTCTTGGAACGTTTGAGTTAATATTGCAGGTTTATAGCATCCACACGTTCTTCACCTTAGACAAAACTTCAATGAGTGTTTCTTCGCTCAAGTGTGTTTAATGTTCAGTTCCAGATTTAAAATTCCAGATTTTCCCACTGATTGTACCCTAGTCTCTGCCTTCTAACAATCTGTAGATGTAATGACACCAAACGAGCCCCGGAGATCGGACACCGATGTACAGCTTGTCAATGATCGCATTTCTTTCCGTTTGCCACTAGCACATGGTTCTTGCCTGATGCTGCTGTGATTTCTGGCTCTCGTCCTTTAAGCCCAATACAGAACTGTGACGTCACGTGAGGCTGACAGATGCCACATTTAACCAGCAGAATGCAACTCTCTATTCTGTGCTCTGCCTATTTTTAGTTGTGTTGATGGTGGGTTTTTTTTTTTGGTTGTTTTTTTTTTGCCATCTTTAAAAATAAAATCTGTTCTGCAGAGATAGTGCTTCCATAAACGTCGCATTTTGCAGACATATATGGTATTGTTCTATACAATTGCATCCGAAATCATTACATAATCGTTTTCATTGCTTGTTCTACTGAGAGATATTCTTGGTTTAATAGCCATAAATAATTACACTGTTATAGACAGAAGAAGTCGAAGGATTGCAATTTTGTTGCAAAATGACAAGCATCAGATACCTGCTACAATCAATCTGTTTCTTTATCTGTCGATAAACATGAGTCACACTTTAATAGCTATCTGAATGCAAGTATAATGATGGTGTTCCTTACAACTTACTTGAACTGAAAATGTGACAATCACGTTTTCACGGATTCACGGGAAAATAAACTTTTTTTTTGTTTAACAGGTAGGCAGAACTGTAAAACTCCTAAATAAAATATATCGATATCTGTAAAAAACAAACAAACAACAACAAAAAAAACAAAAAAACAAACAGTACTTGTGTTTGAAAAAACAAACAGGTTCTCTATATGTGTAATGCCAATGGAAGTCCCTGGCCTGAACTAAAAGGGGTCAGTTTGCTCCAATTTGCTTTGAAATATAACTTTTTTTTTTTTTTTTTTATGTCACCTTTGTACACCCATTCACATAATAGCAATTTGTGGCGATTTTAACCGATTTGCAAAAATGTTAGGTGAAAATATCAAAGTTGGAAAAGATGCAGATTACTATGCATAATTGTTTTTTTTTTTTTTGTTTTGTTTTTTAAATGTTTTATTAAATTAATATCATGCAATTTGATCCAAATGGTGGACGTCAGCTTTTATGTCCGCACAACTAAGAAGTGACATAATTCCTTAGGGATTAAGATATGCCTTTTGCCTTCATGAGAGAAAATGTTTGGAAATATTCAGTAAAGAGCAAAGAAATGATTGCAGAGTGGCTGACGCCTAGGCTTTGTTTTACTTCTTCAATGTCAATGTTGTGCACACAGGTGCTTTCATGTACCTTCTCCATTCAGCATGTCTTGATTCACACAAATGTATTAACTACATCTCCATTCAGTCTCTCCACATCAAGCAGAGTGAGCGTGGAAGGTGAAGATCTCCCACTGTACAAGTGCCTACCTGGCTCTGAAAGTACTGTGCTGCTTCTGTGCAGAAGCTAGAGCAGGTGGCTACAGAGAGAGATGTAACGTGAAAGATCTCACACTCAAACCCGTACTTGTACTTCCGTACAGATGCTACACCAGGAAAAAGGGGGTGGATGGAGCAATATTACATATGCAGGTGGGAATAGCAGCTTACAATGTCAAATATAGCATATACTATGTTTTATGCCCACATACTCTCAACAGAGGTGGGTGGATAGTTACGTGGAAAGAATGAATACATGTGTTACCTCAAGGTGAAGCTTGTATTACAGAAAAAAAGTATGGAGACTTCATTATAAACTACATTATATATTGTTATATTACAATTTTTAAAAAGTGTGAATTAATGGTAGGTTTTGGACTAAGGCTAAGGATAATATAACATTGCCCGAGATTTGTGAGAGTTATACTTCTAGTTAACCCCCCTTTAGTAATATCCTAGAGAGATGACTTCTACATTAACTGTCTTATTTTGAGCACAGTAGTATTAACAGTAAAGTGACTCAATTAAAAGCCTCATCTGCAAATAGCATCTGGTTCCTGAGAGTGCAACTCCCACTTATCTGAGGCAGCTCAGGACATGTATGTGCTTACACTAAACTGAGATAGATCAGCTAAGACTGCACAATATCGGTCACACCGAGCATTATGCCATTTCATGAGGGATTTGAAGGCAAGCACCAAGCAGTATGGATGAAAAACATGAGCTTCATATTAAAAAATTATTTCAATCTCAAGAATAATCATTGTATTCCCTCTGTGCAAGATACTGTGAAACCTATTTATTACTTGCTGAGATTAATACTGTCAGTGTGTGGTCTAATTATAATGGGTATTCACTGAATGCAATCTGAATATTTTACTTAAAACTAGTGATGGCAATGTGCAATATATTTCTTCCTCCATTACTCTATCAAACTGTGAAGAACAAAATAAACTTTATGCACTGACTAGTCTCTAGTGCAAGGGTAGGCAACCTACGGCACTAGTGCCATGCACGGCACTTGAGGTGTCTTTGCATGGCACTCAAGGCTGCTAGAGCCAAACAGGGTCTGGCCTATCAGGAGTCTCAGTGAAACTTCAGATATCTGCTAATACGAAGAGGTGGTGAAGGACAATCCTCAATTAATGCATTGCAGCATGTAGAGTTAGTGATCTCGGATAACTTCCTCCCAGCACTTGTGAATGGGAAACCACACTGTAGTAGAGCAGCCTACAGCTGCTATTGCAACTCCTGTCCTTGACCTGTACCTAGCCAGCCTGGTCCCCACTGGAAGCCAGGGAAGCCACCGACACTGCTAGATATACACAGAAATGCAGAATAACCCTCCCCTTATACAAATAATATGAACAGCCCACACACAAACACAATACACAATCTGCACAAACTCAACACCACTGACAATCCACATACATGCACACCACCCAATATGAAGCCTCGCACATGCAATACCACAAGCATCCCCACATATACACACACTACCAAACACACAATGTGACATATCCACCAACACACACACAATTCTTCAAGCAGCCCCCATACAGAGCCCACATTCATGGGTACAGAATACCACAATCTACTCATGAACATATACAATATAAAAGCTCTTATACACAAAAGTACAATGATTCAAAGCAACTGCAGTATAAATAACACAAGCAGAATATGGCAACATGCACACCTCAATTTAAAAAAATAGGACCGGCAAGCTACGGGACATCACAATCTTATTGTATTCTGTAAAGGTAAAAATAGAAAATAAAAATTATGCTAAAAAGCAATCCTGTCGCATTTATTTCAATCTGTTATTAATGTGATCTGATGCATTAATATTATTCCTATTATGCTACACAAGACTTCCGAATTCATAGCGCTACATAATCTAGAGCACATTTGATGATGAAAGTAAGTATTTTACACAGGGAGGTTGCTAGGGTCATGAAATACCTTGGGATTGAGCAAAAAAAATATATTACTCCCCCCACCACCTCACCATCTGTCTCATCCTCCCTCCCCAGCTTCTCCATTTGTTTAATTCACCCCCCAGCCCTTCAATGTGTCTCATCCTCTCTTCCCAGCCCCCCCTCTCTCGGTCAACCTCCCCCAGCACCTAAATGTGTCTCTTCCCCATCCCCATCCCTCCTGTACATTATTATTATTACCATTTATTACCATTTATATAGCGCCAACAGATTCTGTAGCGCTCTACAATATTATGAGAGGGGGGATTAAACTATAAATAGGACAATTAGAAGAAAACTTATAGGAACCATAGGTATTTTACACAGGGAGGTTGCTAGGGTCATAAAATACCTTGGGATTGAGCAAAAAAAATATTACCCCCCTGACCACCTCACCATGTGTCTCATCTTCCCTCCCCAGCTCCTCCATTTGTTTAACTCTTCCCCCCAGCCCCTTGATGTGTCTCATCCTCTCTTCCCAGCCCCTCCACATTTCTCAGTCTCCCTCCCACAGCCTCTAAATGTGTCTCTTCCCCATCCCCATCCCCTCCTGTACATTATTATTATTATTATTATTATTATTAATAAACTATAAATAGGACAATTACAAGAAAACTTATAGGAACCATAGGTTGAAGAGGACCCTGCTCAAACGAGCTTACAGTCAATATGTAGTGTAGCTGAGCAGACCACGATACTCGGTCTGACAGTAACTGGTTGTTGCTCTCAGCGAGCACTTCTGACAGACCACGGTCCACTCAACCACACTACATGCAGTGACTGGCAACAGAGGGAACACCATGACTTGTGCACTGGCACTGAAGTTATGCGCGCCCGATGGGATTTCCTGGTGGATTAGTCCTGTCCTCTACATTAGCTGACAGGGCAACTGCGACCCTGGTAGTTCCACCACTGTAAGGCATGTAGTGTGTGTAAGGAATGTATTGTGTTTGTGCTGGTAACGCAGTGTGTCTGTGTGTGTTTTTACTGATGATGCAGTATATGTGTACAAGGAATGTTTTTTGTCCATGGTGATAATACAATATTTGTGTGTGTAGGGGATATAGTTTGAGATTGGTGGATGTAGTGTGTGTAGGGAAAGTATTGTGTATGTGTGCAAACAAGTCATGACTTGTTTGCCTTGGCAGCAATTTCCAGAAAAAAACGCAAAAAACGCCGTCCCCAAATGCTCAGGCTAATGCCTTGTTTGCCTCGTTTTATGGGGGCCCAAGAGCTGGCCACCTTTGGGCTCCCCCGGGGCAGGCGGCCAGTTGTTTCCCGGGCAGGTGGTGAGGGGGCACTTTCCCCATAGCTCTGTTTGCTCAACTCCCTTGCGCAACCCACAGTAATGCAGGGAGCCGGAATATGACGTCAGTCCGGCTCCCGGCATCACTCTGCGGTAGGCGAGGGAGCTGAGCAGAGAGATCACAGCTCCCTCGCTGAAAACATCTGGCCGCCGTCCTGCCCAGCAGCCAGGCCAGCAGACCTCTGGTGAAAAAAAGTAGGGAGGCTGGGTGGATTAAATTTAAAATAATAATAATTGTGAGTGTTGGGGGAAAATGTGTGTGTTTGTCAATGAACATGACTGTGTGTGTGTCAGTGAATATGAGGAAGGGAGTGAGTGTGTGTGTGTGTGTGTCTGTGAATGTGAGTGTGTGTCAGTGAATGTGAGTGAGTGTGTGTGTTTGTCAGTGAATGTGAGTTGGTGT